TGGTAATCGAGTATGTGTATTAATGAATTGGTTTGAGGGAAAAATATGCCAGACGAGTTATTTTCTTGTTGATGCCAAGCAGTACATTTGACAATAAAGTAGTACAAAAAAATAAGGAATAGGTAATTTACACTTATGCTGACAGTCTTGTAGAAGTTGAGCAAGTAAGCTGATGTGCCCATGATATTCAATAGGATAAACACGGACATAAGCAGCATTGGATGGTATAGATGGGCTGAAATAAATTATGATTTCCGGGTGTCCCTTAGAGTTGCCAGCAAATATCTGAAAAATAAAAGCAGTCATTACAAAGATGGTTTAAAATATCCCGTCAGCATACTTGCATTGTGATTGTAAAATTACATGTTATTCCACAACACTCGCACAATTAACATGTTAAGACCCGTTGAAACCTGTAAAAGTATTACCTCGTTCAGCTGAATCCATACAATTCCATCAACACTGTAGGAAATTGTGAATTTTGTAACCCACTCCTCCTTTTCTTCCTTGCCCTTGATTTGTATACCAATAACTTCATTCCCTGGAGGGAATTGGAATTGTATGTAGGGGTTGCTGTAAAAATTACAGAGAAGAATTAATGACAGCAAACATACCGATGATTCTTATAATTATCTTAACGACATGTCCTTGATGTGGGCATTTGCTAAGAGTATAAGACGCACCTGTCATGTTTGTTTGGGGTCCAGGATTCATGAGAGTCCACCTCAGAACTTGCTGATTCTGCCGATGTTTGCTCATCACTTGAGGAGGAGTATGTTATCTTCGGGATAGGCATTATGTAATAGCAAGCTGCAACGAAAATCAAACAAAATTCACATTTAAAACCCTTGTTGACAAGATGAGTCATTGAATAGTATTCTTAATAATTATGGCATGAATGTTTTTTTTCATGTAAAAAGTATATGACGCGGCATGCATTACAGAGTATGATCATACATTGTACATATGTGGAAGAATGCAAGAATGGTTAATCCTTTTTCATACCGAGCAATATCTTAAGCTAGAATCAATACAAGTAGTTAAATACGTTTTTACGTGGATATTTGAGGATAACTCTTTAAGATTTATGTTGTTTTCAATTTTAGAGGAATAAACCGAACTAAAGTTTCCAATATAAAGAAGGCAATTATATGGCCTTACGTGTTGTGGTCTGAATGCTTGTTGTGGTCTGAATGCTTGTTGTTGTCACTTTAGGGGTGGGAGTGGGCGGTGTTGATGTTTCGGTTGTTGAAACTTGTATTGTTGTTGCTGTTAAGGAAAAAAAAAGTACGTTACACGTACGGTGCAGAAAATATCCTTACACTGTTGCTAATTACGGCAATGAATTCAACCATTTTTAAAGCAATAAGTAACATACAGGCAATTCACTTTCATAAGGAAAACTTTGTCGGTATTCATAACGACATCAATATTATTAATGGAAGTGTAATTATTGGTAATAGTGTACGAGTATTCATTAAATCGTTTTGTTGGATGTATTTTGAAAATATGCACGTGAAAATGAATAGAGTTTTAACAACAATTATTGTTTTATAACAATGAAGGATAAAGGAACACGTTCAATTGCTACATTGGTTTGTGAGTGAAATATGAAATAAGCAGTGTGTACTTACATGAAGCTTTGCAATCTAGCAGAACTGTTACAATGATGCTTATTTTTTCATATGATTCATCTGTATGCTTAACTCCATTATCAATCCATTCTACGGGTATGATACGTATGGCTACAATATCTGGGATTGACGGTACCACGTAGTTGGTTTGTTCCGTGGTGCTGTCATGATTGCCTTCAAATACCTAATGCAATAAAAGAGAAAGTTGTTAATGTTGGAGAGAACCATTAGAAATTCCATGAAGGCAATTATCACTCTCAATTCACGATATGACAAAATAAGTGCTCAAAGAATGTGTTGGGTGAGATGCAAAGATTACCTTGTCAATTACCACCCAGTGAACTCCATCGGTGGTGTATGAAATTTCATATTTTGAAACCCACTGAGGTTGCTCTGGATTACCCTCGGTTATTATGCCGACAAATGTACTTCCTGGAGGTATTTTAACTTCTATGTATGGGGAGCTGAACAACACGGATAACAATATGAAAATTACCATGATTTTACAGCACACAATTGTTTTTAAAGGTATATTATGTACTTCCTTACGGCATAGCATGAATACAGAATATGATAGAGTACAGATGTAAGTGTAAGAGGTTTTCTACGTTGTATCTTACTTGTCATCACTACTTGGAGACCATGGTTTGCCTTTTTCAGGAACATCTCCTGATGAATATGAAAACTCAGGATTTTCCATTGGTGTTGAACAAGCTGCAGTGACAAAAAAGAATGGTTCTTTATAAACACTTGTTTTCCATTGTTTCAACATTTCATAGGTGCACTAAACATATTCATAGGCTCTGTGGATTAACACTGTGAGAAAAAATATAAATCTTCGAATTGTAGCCTAACATCCGTGTTACATTTGCCTCACACATTTTAAACAAAGTCAAGCAATGTAAATCCTTAAAGGTACGGCGTTTCAATGTTCTAATGAGAGTGGCTAAATGTTGACAAGGAATGGAGACTGCAATGAAACATTTGTTTATTAATGACAGTATGCTAACGTTGATCTCGGAAGCCTCCATTCGTTTTATAATTGACAAATGAAATCAACACTGATCTGGAAATACATATCATAATATTACTGTTGGAAACGTTCATATCCTAACGTTCATATTGGAAACCTGAAAAAGTTGTATCACTCCAATATGAAAGCAACATTGGTCTAAAATACAAAGAAGGTAATGATATGGCCTCACGTGTTGTGGTTTGAATGCTTGTTGTTGTCACTGTAGGGGTGGGAGTGGGTGGTGTTGATGTTTCAGTTGTTGAAACTTGTATTGTTGTTGCTGTTAAGGAAAAAAAAAGTACGTTACACGTACGGTGCAGAAAATATCCTTACACTGTTGCTAATTACGGCAATGAATTCAACCATTTTTAAAGCAATAAGTAACATACAGGCAATTCACTTTCATAAGGAAAACTTTGTCGGTATTCATAACGACATCAATATTATTAATGGAAGTGTAATTATTGGTAATAGTGTACGAGTATTCATTAAATCGTTTTGTTGGATGTATTTTGAAAATATGCACGTGAAAATGAATAGAGTTTTAACAACAATTATTGTTTTATAACAATGAAGGATAAAGGAACACGTTCAATTGCTACATTGGTTTGTGAGTGAAATATGAAATAAGCAGTGTGTACTTACATGAAGCTTTGCAATCTAGCAGAACTGTTACAATGATGCTTATTTTGTCATATGATTCATCTGTATGCTTAATTCCATTATCAATCCATTCTACGGGTATGATACGTATGGCTACAATATCTGGGATTGAAGGTACCACGTAGTTGGTTTGTTCCGTGGTGCTGTCATGATTGCCTTCAAATACCTAATGCAATAAAAGAGAAAGTTGTTAATGTTGGAGAGAACCATTAGAAATTCCATGAAGGCAATTATCACTCTCAATTCACGATATGACAAAATAAGTGCTCAAATAATGTGTTGGGTGAGATGCAAAGATTACCTTGTCAATTACCACCCAGTGAACTCCATCGGTGGTGTATGAAATTCATATTTTGAAACCCACTGAGGTTGCTCTGGATTACCCTCGGTTATTATGCCGACAAATGTACTTCCTGGAGGTATTTTAACTTCTATGTATGGGGAGCTGAACAACACGGATAACAATATGAAAATTACCATGATTTTACAGCACACAATTGTTTTTAAAGGTATATTATGTACTTCCTTACGGCATAGCATGAATACAGAATATGATAGAGTACAGATGTAAGTGTAAGAGGTTTTCTACGTTGTATCTTACTTGTCATCACTACTTGGAGACCATGGTTTGCCTTTTTCAGGAACATCTCCTGATGAATATGAAAACTCAGGATTTTCCATTGGTGTTGAACAAGCTGCAGTGACAAAAAAGAATGGTTCTTTATAAACACTTGTTTTCCATTGTTTCAACATTTCATAGGTGCACTAAACATATTCATAGGCTCTGTGGATTAACACTGTGAGAAAAAATATAAATCTTCGAATTGTAGCCTAACATCCGTGTTACATTTGCCTCACACATTTTAAACAAAGTCAAGCAATGTAAATCCTTAAAGGTACGACGTTTCAATGTTCTAATGAGAGTGGCTAAATGTTGACAAGGAATGGAGACTGCAATGAAACATTTGTTTATTAATGACAGTATGCTAACGTTGATCTCGGAAGCCTCCATTCGTTTTATAATTGACAAATGAAATCAACACTGATCTGGAAATACATATCATAATATTACTGTTGGAAACGTTCATATCCTAACGTTCATATTGGAAACCTGAAAAAGTTGTATCACTCCAATATGAAAGCAACATTGGTCTAAAATACAAAGAAGGTAATGATATGGCCTCACGTGTTGTGGTTTGAATGCTTGTTGTTGTCACTGTAGGGGTGGGAGTGGGCGGTGTTGATGTTTCAGTTGTTGAAACTTGTATTGTTGTTGCTGTTAAGGAAAAAAAAAGTACGTTACACGTACGGTGCAGAAAATATCCTTACACTGTTGCTAATTACGGCAATGAATTCAACCATTTTTAAAGCAATAAGTAACATACAGGCAATTCACTTTCATAAGGAAAACTTTGTCGGTATTCATAACGACATCAATATTATTAATGGAAGTGTAATTATTGGTAATAGTGTACAAGTATTCATTAAATCGTTTTGTTGGATGTATTTTGAAAATATGCACGTGAAAATGAATAGAGTTTTAACAACAATTATTGTTTTATAACAATGAAGGATAAAGGAACACGTTCAATTGCTACATTGGTTTGTGTGTGAAATATGAAATAAGCAGTGTGTACTTACATGAAGCTTTGCAATCTAGCAGAACTGTTACAATGATGCTTATTTTGTCATATGATTCATCTGTATGCTTAACTCCATTATCAATCCATTCTACGGGTATGATACGTATGGCTACAATATCTGGGATTGAAGGTACCACGTAGTTGGTTTGTTCCGTGGTGCTGTCATGATTGCCTTCAAATACCTAATGCAATAAAAGAGAAAGTTGTTAATGTTGGAGAGAACCATTAGAAATTCCATGAAGGCAATTATCACTCTCAATTCACGATATGACAAAATAAGTGCTCAAATAATGTGTTGGGTGAGATGCAAAGATTACCTTGTCAATTACCACCCAGTGAACTCCATCGGTGGTGTATGAAATTTCATATTTTGAAACCCACTGAGGTTGCTCTGGATTACCCTCGGTTATTATGCCGACAAATGTACTTCCTGGAGGTATTTTAACTTCTATGTATGGGGAGCTGAACAACACGGATAACAATATGAAAATTACCATGATTTTACAGCACACAATTGTTTTTAAAGGTATATTATGTACTTCCTTACGGCATAGCATGAATACAGAATATGATAGAGTACAGATGTAAGTGTAAGAGGTTTTCTACGTTGTATCTTACTTGTCATCACTACTTGGAGACCATGGTTTGCCTTTTTCAGGAACATCCCCTGATGAATATGAAAACTCAGGATTTTCCATTGGTGTTGAACAAGCTGCAGTGACAAAAAAGAATGGTTCTTTATAAACACTTGTTTTCCATTGTTTCAACATTTCATAGGTGCACTAAACATATTCATAGGCTCTGTGGATTAACACTGTGAGAAAAAATATAAATCTTCGAATTGTAGCCTAACATCCGTGTTACATTCGCCTCACACATTATAAACACAGTCAAGCAATGTAAATCCTTAAAGGTACGGCGTTTCAATGTTCTAATGAGAGTGGCTAAATGTTGACAAGGAATGGAGACTGCAATGAAACATTTGTTTATTAATGACAGTATGCTAACGTTGATCTCGGAAGCCTCCATTCGTTTTATAATTGACAAATAAAATTAACACTGATCTGGAAATACATATAATATTTATGTTGGAAACGTTCACATCCTAACATTCATATTGGAAACCTGAAAAAGTTGTATCACTCCAACATAAAAGCAACATTGGTCTAAAATACAAAGAAGGCAATGATATGGCCTCACGTGTTGTGGTTTGAATGCTTGTTGTTGTCACTGTAGGGGTGTGAGGGGGCGATGTTGGTGTTTTAGTTGTTGTATGATCTTCTATTGTTGTTGCTGTTAAGGAAAAAAATGTACGTTACACATACGATGCAGAAAATACTCATGCGGTTTATAAGTATAGCAATAAATTCAGCACTTGTTTAAACCAAGAGGTAATTTACAGACATTTTTATTTTGCAAGGGAGACCTTATGAGAGCGTCAACATTATTAATGCCGGTGTAATTATTGGTAATCGAGTATGTGTATTAATGAATTGGTTTGAGGGAAAAATATGCCAGGCGAGTTATTTTCTTGTTGATGCCAAGCAGTACATTTGACAATAAAGTAGTAAAAAAAAATAAGGAATAGGTAATTTACACTTATGCTGACAGTCTTGTAGAAGTTGAGCAAGTAAGCTGATGTGCCCATGATATTCAATAGGATAAACACGGATATAAGCAGCTTCGGATGGGATAGATGGGCTGAAATAAATTATGATTTCCGGGTGTCCCTTAGAGTTGCCAGCAAATATCTGAAAAATAAAAGCAGTCATTACAAAGATGGTTTAAAATATCCCGTCAGCATACTTGCATTGTGATGGTAAAGTTACATGTTATTCCACAACACTCGCACAATTAACATGTTAAGACCCGTTGAAACCTGTAAAAGTATTACCTCGTTAAGCGGAATCCATACAATTCCATCAACACTGTAGGAAATTGTGAATTTTGTAACCCACTCCTCCTTTTCTTCCTTGCCCTTGATTTGTATACCAATAACTTCATTCCCTGGAGGGAATTGGAATTGTATGTAGGGGTTGCTGTAAAAATTACAGAGAAGAATTAATGACAGCAAACATACCGATGATTCTTATAATTATCTTAAGGACATGTCCTTGATGTGGGCATTTGCGAAGAGTATAAGACGCACCTGTCATGTTTGTTTGGGGTCCAGGATTCATGAGAGTCCACCTCTGAACTTGCTGATTCTGCCGATGTTTGCTCATCACTTGAGGAGGAGTATGTTATCTTCGGGATAGGCATTATGTAATAGCAAGCTGCAACGAAAATCAAACAAAATTCACATTTAAAGCCCTTGTTGACAAGATGAGTCATTGAATAGTATTCTTAATAATTATGGCATGAATGTTTTTTTTCATGTAAAAAGTATATGACGCGGCATGCATTACAGAGTATGATCATACATTGTACATATGTGGAAGAATGCAAGAATGGTTAATCCTTTTTCATACCGAGCAATATCTTAAGCTAGAATCAATACAAGTAGTTAAATACGTTTTTACGTGGATATTTGAGGATAACTCTTTAAGATTTATGTTGTTTTCAATTTTAGAGGAATAAACCGAACTAAAGTTTCCAATATAAAGAAGGCAATTATATGGCCTTACGTGTTGTGGTCTGAATGCTTGTTGTGGTCTGAATGCTTGTTGTTGTCACTGTAGGGGTGGGAGTGGGCGGTGTTGATGTTTCAGTTGTTGAAACTTGTATTGTTGTTGCTGTTAAGGAAAAAAAAAGTACGTTACACGTACGGTGCAGAAAATATCCTTACACTGTTGCTAATTACGGCAATGAATTCAACCATTTTTAAAGCAATAAGTAACATACAGGAAATTCACTTTCATAAGGAAAACTTTGTCGGTATTCATAACGACATCAATATTATTAATGGAAGTGTAATTATTGGTAATAGTGTACGAGTATTCATTAAATCGTTTTGTTGGATGTATTTTGAAAATATGCACGTGAAAATGAATAGAGTTTTAACAACAATTATTGTTTTATAACAATGAAGGATAAAGGAACATGTTCAATTGCTACATTGGTTTGTGAGTGAAATATGAAATAAGCAGTGTGTACTTACATGAAGCTTTGCAATCTAGCAGAACTGTTACAATGATGCTTATTTTGTCATATGATTCATCTGTATGCTTAACTCCATTATCAATCCATTCTACGGGTATGATACGTATGGCTACAATATCTGGGATTGAAGGTACCACGTAGTTGGTTTGTTCCGTGGTGCTGTCATGATTGCCTTCAAATACCTAATGCAATAAAAGAGAAAGTTGTTAATGTTGGAGAGAACCATTAGAAATTCCATGAAGGCAATTATCACTCTCAATTCACGATATGACAAAATAAGTGCTCAAATAATGTGTTGGGTGAGATGCAAAGATTACCTTGTCAATTACCACCCAGTGAACTCCATCGGTGGTGTATGAAATTTCATATTTTGAAACCCACTGAGGTTGCTCTGGATTACCCTCGGTTATTATGCCGACAAATGTACTTCCTGGAGGTATTTTAACTTCTATGTATGGGGAGCTGAACAACACGGATAACAATATGAAAATTACCATGATTTTACAGCACACAATTGTTTTTAAAGGTATATTATGTACTTCCTTACGGCATAGCATGAATACAGAATATGATAGAGTACAGATGTAAGTGTAAGAGGTTTTCTACGTTGTATCTTACTTGTCATCACTACTTGGAGACCATGGTTTGCCTTTTTCAGGAACATCTCCTGATGAATATGAAAACTCAGGATTTTCCATTGGTGTTGAACAAGCTGCAGTGACAAAAAAGAATGGTTCTTTATAAACACTTGTTTTCCATTGTTTCAACATTTCATAGGTGCACTAAACATATTCATAGGCTCTGTGGATTAACACTGTGAGAAAAAATATAAATCTTCGAATTGTAGCCTAACATCCGTGGTACATTTGCCTCACACATTTTAAACAAAGTCAAGCAATGTAAATCCTTAAAGGTACGGCGTTTCAATGTTCTAATGAGAGTGGCTAAATGTTGACAAGGAATGGAGACTGCAATGAAACATTTGTTTATTAATGACAGTATGCTAACGTTGATCTCGGAAGCCTCCATTCGTTTTATAATTGACAAATGAAATCAACACTGATCTGGAAATACATATCATAATATTACTGTTGGAAACGTTCATATCCTAACGTTCATATTGGAAACCTGAAAAAGTTGTATCACTCCAATATGAAAGCAACATTGGTCTAAAATACAAAGAAGGTAATGATATGGCCTCACGTGTTGTGGTTTGAATGCTTGTTGTTGTCACTGTAGGGGTGGGAGTGGGCGGTGTTGATGTTTCAGTTGTTGAAACTTGTATTGTTGTTGCTGTTAAGGAAAAAAAAAGTACGTTACACGTACGGTGCAGAAAATACTCATGCGGTTGATAAGTATAGCAATAAATTCAGCACTTGTTTAAACCAAGAGGTAATTTACAGACGTTTTTATTTTGCAAGGAAGACCTTATGAGAGCGTCAACATTATTAATGCCGATGTAATTATTGGTAATCGAGTATGTGTATTAATGAATTGGTTTGAGGGAAAAATATGCCAGGCGAGTTATTTTCTTGTTGATGCCAAGCAGTACATTGGACAATAAAGTAGTACAAAAAAAATAAGGAATAGGTAATTTACACTCATGCTGACAGTCTTGTAGAAGTTGAGCAAGTAAGCTGATGTGCCCATGATATTCAATAGGATAAACACGGACATAAGCAGCATCGGATGGGATAGATGGGCTGAAAAAAATGATTTCCGAGTGTCCCTTAGAGTTGCCATCAAATATCTGAAAAATAAAAGCAGTCATTACGAAGATGGTTTAAAATATCCCGTCAGCATACTTGCATTGTGATTGTAAAGTTACATGTTATTCCACAACACTCGCACAATTAACATGTCAAGACCCGATGAAACCTGTAAAAGTATTACCTCGTTCAGCGGAATCCATACAATTCCATCAACACTGTAGGAAATTGTGAATTTTGTAACCCACTCCTCCTTTTCTTCCTTGCCCTTGATTTGTATTCCGATAACATTATTCCCTGGAGGGAATTGGAATTGTATGTAGGGGTTGCTGTAAAAATTACAGAGAAGAATTAATGACAGCAAACATACTGATGATTCTTATAATTATCTTAACGACATGTCCTTGATGTGGGCATTTGCTAAGAGTATAAGAAGCACCTGTCATGTTTGTTTGGGGTCCAGGATTCATGAGAGTCCACCTCTGAACTTGCTGATTCTGCCGATGTTTGCTCATCACTTGAGGAGGAGTATGTTATCTTCGGGATAGGCATTATGTAATAGCAAGCTGCAACGAAAATCAAACAAAATTCACATTTAAAGCCCTTGTTGACAAGATGAGTCATTGAATAGTATTCTTAATAATTATGGCATGAATGTTTTTTTTCATGTAAAAAGTATATGACGTGGCATGCATTACAGAGTATGATCATACATTGTACATATGTGGAAGAATGCAAGAATGGTTAATCCTTTTTCATACCGAGCAATATCTTAAGCTGGAATCAATACAAGTAGTTAAATACGTTTTTACGTGAATATTTGAGGATAACTCTTTAAGATTTATGTTGTTTTCAATTTTAGAGGATTCAACCGAATTAAAGTTTCCAATATAAAGAAGGCAATTATATGGCCTTACGTGTTGTGGTCTGAATGCTTGTTGTTGTTGTCACTTTAGGGGTGGGAGTGGGCGGTGTTGATGTTTCAGTTGTTGAAACTTGTATTGTTGTTGCTGTTAAGGAAAAAAAAAGTACGTTACACGTACGGTGCAGAAAATATCCTTACACTGTTGCTATTACGGCAATGAATTCAACCATTTTTAAAGCAATAAGTAACATACAGGCAATTCACTTTCATAAGGAAAACTTTGTCGGTATTCATAACGACATCAATATTATTAATGGAAGTGTAATTATTGGTAATAGTGTACAAGTATTCATTACATCGTTTTGTTGGATGTATTTTGAAAATATGCACGTGAAAATGAATAGAGTTTTAAACAACAATTATTGTTTTATAACAATGAAGGATAAAGGACACGTTCAATTGCTACATTGGTTTGTGAGTGAAATATGAAATAAGCAGTGTGTACTTACATGAAGCTTTGCAATCTAGCAGAACTGTTACAATGATGCTTATTTTGTCATATGATTCATCTGTATGCTTAACTCCATTATCAATCATTCTACGGTATGATACGTATGGCTACAATATCTGGGATTGAAGGTACCACGTAGTTGGTTTGTTCCGTGGTGCTGTCATGATTGCCTTCAAAATACCTAATGCAATAAAAGAGAAAGTTGTTAATGTTGGAGAGAAACCATTAGAAATTCCATGAAGTCAATTATCACTCTCAATTCACGATATGACAAAATAAGTGCTCAAATAATGTGTTGGGTGAGATGCAAAGATTACCTTGTCAATTACCACCCAGTGAAGCTCCATCGGTGGTGTATGAAATTTCATATTTTGAAACCCACTGAGGTTGCTCTGGATTACCCTCGGTTATTATGCCGACAAATGTACTTCCTGGAGGTATTTAACTTCTATGTATGGGGAGCTGAACAACACGGATACAATATGAAAATTACCATGATTTTACAGCACACAATTGTTTTTAAAGGTATATTATGTACTTCCTTACGGCATAGCATGAATACAGAATATGATAGAGTACAGATGTAAGTGTAAGAGGTTTTCTACGTTGTATCTTACTTGTCATCACTACTTGGAGACCATGGTTTGCCTTTTTCAGGAACATCTCCTGATGAATATGAAACTCAGGATTTTCCATTGGTGTTGAACAAGCTGCAGTGACAAAAAAGAATGGTTCTTTATAAACACTTGTTTTCCATTATTTCAACATTTCATAGGGCACTAAACATATTCATAGGCTCTGTGGATTAACACTGTGAGAAAAAATATAAATCTTCGAATTGTAGCCTAACATCCGTGTTACATTTGCCTCACACATTTTAACAAAGTCAAGCAATGTAAATCCTTAAGGTACGGCGTTTCAATGTTCTAATGAGAGTGGCTAAATGTTGACAAGGAATGGAGACTGCAATGAAACATTTGTTTATTAATGACAGTATGCTAACGTTGATCTCGGAAAGCCTCCATTCGTTTTATAATTGACAAATGAATCAACACTGATCTGGAAATACATATCATAATATTACTGTTGGAAACGTTCATATCCTAACGTTCATATTGGAAACCTGAAAAAGTTGTATCACTCCAATATGAAAGCAACATTGGTCTAAAATACAAAGAAGGTAATGATATGGCCTCACGTGTTGTGGTTTGAATGCTTGTTGTCGTCACTGTAGGGGTGGGAGTGGGCGGTGTTGATGTTTCAGTTGTTGAAACTTGTATTGTTGTTGCTGTTAAGGAAAAAAAATGTACGTTACACATACGATGCAGAAAATACTCATGCGGTTGATAAGTATAGCAATAAATTCAGCACTTGTTTAAACCAAGAGGTAAATTGCAGACATTTTTTTTGCAAGGAAAACCTTATGAGAGCGTCAACATTATTAATGCCTGTGTAATTATTGGTAATCGAGTATGTTTATTAATGAAGTGGTACGAGGGAAAATATGCCAGGCAAGTTATTTTCTTGTTGATGCCAAGCAGTACATTTGACAATAAAGTGGTACAAAGAAAATAAGGAATAGGTCATTTACACTCAAGCTGACAGGCTTGTAGAAGTTCAGCAAGTAAGCTGATGTGCCCATGATATTCAATAGGATAAACACGGACATAAGCAGCATCGGAGGGGATAGATGGGCTGAAAAAAATGATGATTTCCGGGTGTCCCTTAGAGTTGCCATCAAATATCTGAAAAATAAAAGCAGTCATTACAAAGATGGTTTAAAATATCCCGTCAGCATACTTGCATTGTGATTGTAAAGTTACATGTTATTCCACAACACTCGCACAATTAACATGTTAAGACTCGTTGACACCTGTAAAAGTATTACCTTGTTTAGTGGAATCCATACAATTCCATCAACACTGTAGGAAATTGTGAATTTTGTAACCCACTCATTCTTTTCTTCCTTGCCCTTGATTTGTATACCAATAACTTCATTCCCTGAAGGGAACTGGAATTGTATGTATGGGTTGCTGTAAAAATTACAGAGAAGAATTACTGACAGCAAAATGTACAGATGATTCTTAGAATTATCTTAAGTAAACATGTCCTTGATGTGGGCATTCGCGAAGAGTATAAACGCACCTGTCATGTTTGTTTGGGGTCCAGGATTCATGAGAGTCAACCTCTGAACTTGCTGATTCTGCCGATGTTTGCTCATCACTTGAGGAGGAGTATGATATCTTCGGGATAGGCATTATGTAATAGCAAGCTGCAATGAAAATCAAACAAAATTCACGTTTAAAGCCCTTGTTGACAATATGAGTCATTTAATAGTATTCCTAATGATTATGGCATGAATGTTTTTTTTCATGTAAAAAGTATATGACGCGGCATGCATTACAGAGTATGATCATACATTGTACATATGTGGAAGAATGCAAGAATGGTTAATCCTTTTTCATACCGAGCAATATCTTAAGCTGGAATCAATACCAGTAGTTAAGTACGTTTTTTACGTGAATATTTGAGGATAACTCTTTAAGATTATGTTGTTTTCAATTTTAGAGGATTAAACGAATAAAGTTTCCAATATGAAGAAGGCAATTATATGGCCTTACGTGTTGTGGTCTGAATGCTTGTTGTTGTCACTTTAGGGGTGGGAGTGGGCGGTGTTGATGTTTCAGTTGTTGAAACTTGTATTGTTGTTGCTGTTAAGGAAAAAAAAAGTACGTTACACGTACGGTGCAGAAAATATCCTTACACTGTTGCTAATTACGGCAATAAATTCAACCATTTTTAAAGCAATAAGTAACATACAGAAAATTAACTTTCATAAGGAAAACTTTGTCCGTATTCATAACGACATCAATATTATTAATGGAAGTGTAATTATTGGTAATAGTGTACGAGTATTCATGAAATCGTTTTGTTGGATGTATTTTATAAATATGCACGTGAAAATGAATAGAGTTTTAACAACAATTATTGTTTTATAACAATGAAGGATAAAGGAACACGTTCAATTGCTACATTGGTTTGTGAGTGAAATATGAAATAAGTAGTGTGTACTTACATGAAGCTTTGCAATCTAGCAGAACTGTTACAATGATGCTTATTTTTTCATATGATTCATCTGTATGCTTAACTCCATTATCAATCCATTCTACGGGTATGATACGTATGGCTACAACATCTGGGATTGAAGGTACCACGTAGTTGGTTTGTTCCGTGGTGCTGTCATGATTGCCTTCAAATACCTAATGCAATAGAAGAGAAAGTGGTTAATGTTGGAGAGAACCATTAGAAATTCCATGAAGGTAATTATCACTCTCAATTCACGATATGACAAAATACGTGCTCAAATAATGTGTTGGGTGAGATGTAAAGATTACCTTGTCAATTACCACCCAGTGAACTCCATCGGTGGTGTATGAAATTTCATATTTTGAAACCCACTGAGGTTGCTCTGGATTACCCTCGGTTTTTACGCCGACAAATGTACTTCCTGGAGGTATTTTAACTTCTATGTATGGGGAGCTGAACAACACGGACAAGAATATGAAAATTACCATGATTTCACTGCACACAATTGTTTTTAAAGGTATATTATGTACTACCTTACAGCATACCATGAATATATAATATGATAGAGTTCAGGTGTAAGTGTAAGATATTTTCTACGTTGTATCTTACTTGTCATCACTACTTGGAGACCATGGTTTGCCTTTTTCAGGAACATCTCCTGATGAATATGAAATCTCAGGATTCTTCATTGGTGTTGAACAAGCTGCAGTGACAAAAAAGAATGGTTCTTTATAAACACTTGTTTTCCATTGTTTCAACATTTCATAGGTGCACTAAACATATTCTTAGGCTCTGTGGATTCGTGCTGAGGAAAAAATCATATCTAATTGTAGCATAACATCCGTGTTACATTAGTTTCACACTTTTTACGTAACTCTGAGATAACCAGCATATTTGATTTACCGGCACCTCCCAATACCCATGGATGCCGGATAACATAACATTTTCTATAATATTAAACATATAAGAGGAATTTCAATGATTGTGGCACAGTTTTCGAGTTATATTTAAATATATCATTAAGTACATCCCACAGCACTCAATTAGTTATAACATGCAGAGATTGGGTAGAAGTATAAAAGCCTTACGTGTAGTCGTGTAAACCTGTGTTGTCGTGGGTGCTTCTGGAGTCGTGTAAACTTTTGTTGTACGTTCTTTTGTTGTGGTGTGAACTTTTGTTTTTGTGGTTCCTTCTGGAGTAGTGTAAACTTTTGTTGTTATGCTTTTTTCTGGAGTCGTAGAACCTGTTAGTTTGCTTATTGAGACAGGTGCAGTTGTCGAAGCTAATGTAAGAAGGACGAGAATGCAAGATTAGTTCTTTTTTAATACCTAGAAATATATTAAGCAGGAATGAATGAAAATAGAAAAGTACACTTTTGAAAATGTAAATATATAGCTAGAGACCATTTCTGTATAACTTATCAGACGGGATATAATAGTTGCTAACTTCATTTGAATCTTGCTAGGTATAACAACAAATGGGACCTCCTTTGCCAGTACCAAAATATAAGAATAGGTTTTTCCCCTTTTTTCTGGAAACAAAACTGAAACCTTTTTACAAGGAATGTCTGCATTAACCACAATACTTGTGGTCATAATGTAAACCAAAAATATCCCCCGATAATATATGCATTGTCGTTGAAACTGATTGGTCCACACCAGAGACATCTTTCTTTTGAGCCTAGTCTCAAACGGTGTTAGCCCAGAGGACGCTAAAAGGCGTACAGCACAAAGACAATGCACTATCAGAGTAATGAGAGCTCGGGGTGAGCATCTACATCATGGGACCTCATTTGCTAGTACCAAATATAAGAATAGGTTTTTCCCCTTTTTTCTGGCAACAAAACTGAAACCGTTTTACAAGGAATCATGTCTGCATTAACGGCAATACTTGTGGTCAGAGTGCAAACAAAAAACATACTCTGATAATTTATGCATTGTCCTTGAAACTGATTGGTCCACACCAGAGACATCTTTCTTTTGAGTCTCGTCTCAAACTGAAACCTTTGTAAAAACCTTTGTAAAAAGGTTTTAGTTTTGTTGCCAGAAAAAAAGGGGAAAACCTATTCTTATAACAAATATTTATAGCTGTCAACCATACGGTTTACTCATACTTTATACAGCGAAATTTAGTTTTCATGTCCATACGGCGTACAGTCGTTTCAAAACGGGCAATTTTTTGTCTATTTGTTTGTGTTTCTCCGTTGTGATGGAACTTTGTAGGATGAACGTTGAGATTTATAAGGGCACGGGGTGACTAATAAGGTGTGAATTGGTCTGTACTTAGGTAGGCATTGATAACGGGTTGACAAGTATGAATATTGCCTAAGCTTACCAAATAAGTGTTTTTACTTGATGTGATGCATGGACAACGATGAGGTTTTCAAATATATAAATTAACAATTTGTGTCGTTTTCAGTGTCTGGTGTAAGTTGAGTGTTCTTCTGGTGTTTGCGAGACTGGAGGAGTAAAAGGGTAATTTTGAAAATAATATTAAAACTTGAATTACATAACTTATGTTTTTTTTAATTTAAAGCTTTCGTGACTGCAGGGATTCATATTCTTGGTTCTTTCGGTAAAGGCACGTAGAAGGGAAACAATAAAATAATAAAGATATAAAACAATAAAATATATATTAAAAACAATACAAATTCTCACGACGTTTCGACCATAACACAAACGGTGACTTTACCGAAAGAGCTAAGAATATGAATTACTGCAGTCACGAAAGCTTTAAATCAAGATATAAAACAAAACAATTTAATTGTTTTATATATTTTTCTAATAAAATGTTATTGTTTTTATTGTTTTATATTTTTATTATTTGATTGTTTCCCTTCTACGTGAATTTACCGAAAGAACCAAGAATATATTATGTTTTTTTTGTTTTGTTTACGGTAGATTATTAGTAAAGTAAAATATAATTGTTTTACGAAGTTATTGGAAAATATCTATACCAAGGCATATGTGAAAAGGATTTGTATGAAATATGTCAATTCATGAAATGTATAATTACACGTTATATATTTATGAATCGCATCATCGCCAGAAAATGTAAGTGATATCTGCAGTCTAATGTGTGCTTCTTTTCAAGCTTTACGTTGTGATTTGTTCGGTTTGAGAAGTTTATTTCGGTGGTGTGTTTTCACGCTGACAGAGGGAGCGTAGTAACGGCTACGGATTGTAGCTGTAACATGCAAACCGTCAACAAAATTATAATGTAAAGTAGAGCCCTTTGACAATCCACTGCTGGATGAAAGCCTCCCAATCCGTGTTGGTCCTGAGGGTTGTCAGAGCACAATTCTCAAATGTTTGTCAGTGCTGATTCGTGATTGTGGAGGGAGGCCCAGGATGGGTTCAGATATTACTTACCACTAATGTTAGCCGTGTCCAGGAATTGAACAATCGTAGTTTATGTAAAAACGCACGTAAATGATAATATTTGCTTATATATGTACATTTTAAAATAATGATGTTTATTTCATTTTTAATATAAGAAAATCAATGTTACCTTCAGCCTTACACCCAAGAAGCACTTCTGCAATCAAGCTAATTTCATTTTGCCATTCTATTGGAATAATGCGGATATATTTGGAATTTGGAATTGAAGGAACCAGGTAGTTAATATGCACGGCAATATTGTCATTATTGCCTTCAAACACCTGCAAACATAAACAGCATACAGTGATTAATTCATCATAATAATGTGTCACACCCCTTTCAAAATCCACTACTGTGATAATAATCCCCCATGCTCTGTAGGTCATGTGGATTGTTTCATCATACATCACGATGCTGGCCAGTACAGCTGGTGCAGGGGTGGCCTAAGACACGTTCAAATATCAGTTGCCACTGATTTTAGTGATGGTCGGGAATCGAACTTGTCAGGATCATAGCACAGTGCACGAACCATTGTGTCATTCCTCTATCCCAATACAATATACGTGTCAAAAATATATGGCTAAATTGTTTGCCATATAATTTTATTACTGAACATATTACAGATTATTGGAATGATATGAGCATAATACTAGAAATTAGGAAAATACCTTGTTCAGAGGCACCCATGTAACTCCATCATGGCTATATGAAATAATGTATTTTGTAACCCATTCTTCATCTTCTGGGTGACCCTGTGTTTTTATGCCAACGACTTCACTTCCAGGTGGTATTTCAAATTGTATGTAAGGAGATCTGTAAAAAAATCCATGTAACATTTGTATGCATTTTTTTAAATGTTCAAAGATACAAAAAGTATACTTGTGTGTGTATATATACTCATATAAAAACGTATTGTGTGTCGTCGGAGCACCATGGCTAGTATAACGAAATGAACAGACAAAAGTCCACCTCTAAAGATTAAAGGTAGCCCTGTATTTTATTGCTTACGCCACAGTTCGTGAAAGGACATCCACTAGTGGGATCTCTAGAGATCTCCTCTAGAGCAGTGGTTTCCAATGGGGGGCACGCAGACCCCTGGGGATATACGGCAATGTCCCAGGGGGTACATGAGGTTATTTCCAAATGTGTGAAATTATATCATACATGAGAGTCATTGGTGAATAATCATGTATGAATCTGCCAATATAAAATAACTCAGTTTAACATGTAGGCTTTCGTGACCAATATAATCCATAATAGAGGTTTTTTTGGGGGGTTAGATCGTGTAAATATATAAATGTGTCGTTAAAATAACTATGATATAATTTAAATTAATATGGTAACCTAGAATTATGTAAAAAATCCATTTCCAAACTCATTGATCAGAAACAATGTGGTTTCCAAGAGTAACCAGCAAGCCTGAACAAATTATGTTATGCATGCAAAGCATGTGAGAGGATTTAATAACCTTGCAGCATTGTTGCAACTGACGCACCAGGAGATTGAACCAGTTGTATTTGTTTAAGTATCATTTATGAAAAATGTTCCAGGGCGACCCATCAACCAAAGACAAATATATATCCTTTTTTAAATCAGGATAGAAACACTTACCTGTTCATTTATATTATAACATTAATACTACATGACAATAAGTAATGTGTTTTTTTATGCAATATTTCGGTTTTGCACTGATGGTCCCATGGTTTAGATAGATGGTTCGTATCATTGACATTTTAAAACACATCAGCAATTGTTTTAGAGGTTTCACTCTGCTGACTCGAGCCAGCAGGTAACAACTAGCTCATCGTTTGCCTGCTTAAATAAATGCTGCTGTAAAACATGAGCAGAAGGCCAACGGTCCAATGGACTGGAAGAAATAATCTCTTTTTATGTGAATGTGTATTACAAATAAGTCCGAAATAGGATTTCTCCACAATTCTGACTGTTGCCTGATGAGGCTGGTTGTAATTACTGGCAAAGCATCATACCCAAATTGTAAATGTTGTGGGTTTACTCTCCAACACACCGGTGTGCTAAACTAGTAACTAATTGGAATATTTTTGTTGCATGACAAACCTTACTAATTGGCTGTGTTGGGTGGTGGCGGGTTTAATGACACATATTTACTCCAATTAACCCAAAAAAACCCTCTTATGGATATGTGCATGCACATTCGATACAATATAATAATGTATTTTATTTATATAGCGCTTTTCCCACACTCAAAGCACTGAACAAAAAAACATATTCAATGTTATACATACATAAAAATATATTACATGAAAAAACACAATGACATTAAAAAAACATAAGAGCAATATATTCAAGTTTTAACTCGTGTAATGCATACTGATCATTCTTGTCTGGAGTCCATGGCGCATCATAATATTCTTGAGAACTTCCTGATCCCTCATCTTCACTTCGGGATGAAACTTCAATTTTAGGATTCTCCATTGCATATGAACATGCTGCATTGAAAAGGAAAAAAAATCTAAATTAAAAATGTTCCCATTATGTAAGAAAATGGAGGATCACAACTGCCAGTTGTTGTAGGTTAGTTTATGAATGAAGAATAGTGAGAAAATCCTACAGAGCTGGGATACTATCACCAAGGCCCCATATAACGATTTTACCAGCAATCCCCACTCTATAGATACTTGGCTAATGGTAGGAAAAGAAAAACATAAATTAACGGAGGCATATCGACTCCTTCACCCAGAATGATAAACCAGGAAATACTACCTACGTGACTTTACCGAAAAAACCAAAGATGATAAATACTATCCCGCCACAAACCTGGGGGCAAATCTGGAGTTCCCTGGCTGCTGGCCCCAGATCACTTCCTTTGCAAGGTCACTCAATTTAAATTAATACACAGAACTTATCTAACGAATGACAGGAGGGCGAGGTTTTCGACGACCTCCCCAGACTGCCCTAGGTGCCCACGGGAAACTATACAGGCTTACCTGCATGCCTTTTGGCTGTGCCCGGACATCGCTAAATTCCACTAGGACATTGCTAAATATTTCAATTGAATATGTGGCACAAACATTATGCCCGCGGTGGACTCCTTCCCTTGGGGCCTGAAACCATTGGGAGTGACCAAGCCACAGTACACCCTATTCCAAACTTTCAATGCTGTCGCGAGGAAAGCTATCTCAGTCAAGTGGAAAAATTATGAACCTCCCTCATGGAAACACTGGAGCCGATTATTACATGGTCTGGCTGTAATGGAGCACCTCAGCTACAAACTGAAAGGGAAGGAACGGGAATTTGGGACGGTTTGGACACCCTTCCTCAATAACCCCATCTAGTGTCAGACACTGAAGAGCACTATAGGATCAATTTAAAACGCAAAATAGTTGAAGGGTGTGGAGGTGGGGGTAGGCTCTAGGGCCAACTCTATCCTCAGCGTACTCTGTAAGATGATTGAACCTGGAGGGAAAATGGGCGGATGTGGTCCTCCAGTTACTCTCTTTTTGTACCTCTTTTTGGTCCCCTTTCCCCCCAGTCCCCATCCCATGCCTGGGTTAGAAAATGAAATGAAGCTGGTGCACCTTATCTTGCTCCTGTTCAACGAGGAAGCCTACCCAGAGGGGACCCCCCCCCTCCCCTCTGACATGCTGTTACTCGTATATGCATGTGCCTTCTGATGTGACTGCTGATAGTGGTTACATTTGTTTTAATAGTGAGAAAATACACACGAATACAAATGTAAAATAAAGAAACTGTCTCACGTGTTGTAATCTGATAACTTGTTGTTGTAGATGGAGGTGGTGTGGTGGGCACTAGTGGGACACTTGTAGAAACTGCCGTCGATGTAGATGCTGTCAACAAAATGAAATATTAAGAATATAATCAAAGGCTGAAAACACAATACTTTTATTTAGATAATCAAGTAATGATAATTTACTGCCATTCGTCAATTCACCGATAAATGAAGGCTTCCCCCAGACTATCAGCCTTGGTTGTTGTTTGACCATACTTAACCATGCTGATCAGTGCAAGTCGATGAAGGGGATTGCAATGGCCAAGCTCAAATGGTAGAGTTCATAACACAGTGTGAAAATTCCCATGCAAAAAAATTCCCTATTTAAATTACATAATGCATATATTGAAGACATAAAATTAACAATAATGAGGCAGAAAATATGTATATTCAAAATATGTTGAAGAGCACAACAAACTGAGTGTTTTAACTAAATTAGTGATGTTTATTTGCTAATAAAGAATTGGGATTGAATGAACAAATTTATAAATAGCCATGTTTATTGTTATGAAACGAGATAAGTAAACGTAATTTGTATAAATGTTGTCAATTATGTTGGAAATTTATCTTATTAGCATTATTGTTTGAAATGTACTCTGTTGTAAGCTGGAGGTTAAGCCAAAATTAGAGTATTAAATATATCTGGAAACGTTGGTATTTCCATTATTTCATAAGTGTAAAATATTGTTTATCCCGGAAAAGATTTTGACCCACATTGGACAGCATTGAAATATATTTTTAGAAAAAATGTGTATGACATGTCCTGATTAACATGGTTCATAGCAAATTAATTTAAATATTTGATTGACATGTAATAGACTAATTTTCCTTAAAGAATTAAGGAATTGTACGTAAAAATGTACAAGGTAAAACAACTTAACACATTCATCAACACATTCAGTTGAGATAAACAATTAAAAAAACCTAGAAAAGAGCACAATAATGTACACTTACGTGGAGTATGAGTCTTGTGAGTTACGTGAATTTGTGTTGTGGTTTCTTTTGGGGTAGTCGTAGATTCGGGTAGTGTGCTTGGAGGCGCGGATGTGGTAGCTGATGTGAAGAGAGTGCGTCAGATTAGCCTTTTTATTTGCAGAGCACGCAAGACATTAAGCAAAAGCATGATAACAGTGAAACGAGGTAAATTATTTATCCTCACGCAGGCAGGCTTGTACAAGGTTGGCCTGTACGCTGATGTGATTGTGCCAGTCGATTGGATAGAGACGGACATAAGCAGCATCAATTGGGAGAGATGGCTTGAAATAAATGATGATCTCTGAGTCTCCATCGGAGTTGCCTTCAAATATCTGAAAATGACAGTCAGTGCAAATATGGTTTCAAACCTCCTGTCAGTATACTTGTATTGTGATTGTAAAAATATATTAATTATTCTACAACACTCTTACAATAAACATGTCGTTACTTTTTGAGACCTATAAAAGTGTTACCTGGTCTATCGGCACCCAAATGATTCCATCAACACTGTAGGACGCTGTAAATTTAGTAACCCACTCATCATTCCTTCCCTTGACTTGGATTCCAATGACCTCAGTGCCTGAAGGAAACTGAAACTGTATGTAGGGGTTGCTGGAAAACAGTAAAAAAAACATTATTCAAGTTTGCAATTCTACCACCTTATAATATAAAGTAAAACTTTTCCTCATGTGGATGTGTTTGAGGTTCTGACGGCATACTTGTCATCTTTGTCCGGCGTCCATGATTCATGAGAATCTGGCTCAGAACTTGCTGATTCTGGTGATATTTGCTCATCACTTGAGGATGAATATGTTACCTTGGGGTTGGTCATTATGTAATAGCAAGCTGCAATGAGAAAAACTAACTGAATTGACATTTCATACCCTTGTATATTGTGAACATGTAACATTTTATTAGTAATATAATACATTTAAATAGCAGTCTCAATGATTGTGGCAAAGAATTTGATATAAATGTACTTCCTTTGAAGGAGGGTCAATTTCACTGCACTTTATTGTATGATATATTGTGGACCAGAGTAAAACCACGTCGTGTTAACATTTTATGAAAGTGCATCAACTTCAGGTACTCAAAATGAGTACAACAGTCTTACGTGTAGTAGACTGAGTCTTTGGAGTTGTGGTTTCTGCCGGGGAAGTCGTAGATTTGGGTGGTGTGCTTGTTGAAAAAGGCACGGATGTGGAAGCTGATGTGAAGAAAGTGCAACAAATGTGCCTTTTAATTTCATATTTACGTCATCAAAAAGTCATTCATTCATTGAAATGTAATGTACTAATTTTACTTTGTGAATGAATAGAATGCTAAATTAAAAATAGTACTTTTATTCAAATAAAATATTCAGTCGCACATTCTCAAACATGCTTTCTTCAAAGTAAAATAAATAAGTCTCAATTCATTCATCAATAACAATTCCTTAAAATATTTTTTTATAACAAATGTGTTGAGTTTTTGTTTTTAATTGTACTTGTGCACCTTCTGCCAATGCATCATCACCAAATCATTTGTTTGATAAAAGTAGTTTTGAGACAGTGCTATAAATATTATACCCTATAATGGTGGGAGTATTTCTCCATTCGACAATATTGACCCGCAAACAAATGCCTACGCCAATGACCAGTTACCCTGAATGCATCTGATCTTGTCATTTCATCCAAGCTAAGCAGTGGTGAGTCTGCTTAGTACTGGGATGGTGACTAATGTAGATCAGAAGGTGTTGTGGGCTTGTGTTACAGGGTGGCCAAGAGATGACATTTCTGCAATGGAACTTTGAATCTCTATGGAGTTTTGAGGGTTAAATGCATGTGTTTCTCCAGATCTCCAGTTTCCTCCCGATGCTACTATCAAATGACCAAATATCCGTATCGAATCCTCGCCTAAAACAATGTTGTCGGACTCATTGATGCTCTCCTAGGTACATATATTACATTATAATCATTATTGTTGTAATATAGCCCAGATAATGACTTTGTTTTAATGTTACTAGCATTTTAGAAGTGTTTAATTGAGTCATCGTATCATGGATTTAAATGTATGATCTCACAAATGTAATAATTATGTTATTACATTTTTATTGACAAGTGGTAATCATTGATTATAGAATCAGCACCTTCCCAAAACTGCAGGAATTACACATGGCTCCAGTTTGAAAAGTAATTTTCAGCAAATACAGTTTGATATTTCCAAGTAAAAACTGTGGATGATGAGCTAAGTGCTCAATAGACGTTGAGTTGTGTAACTATTATAAAGAAAATAATAGAGTTGTGCAAAAACTAGTCGATAACTTCCAGAAATATTAGAAAGAGTAGTGTAGTTATGTTATACATTTGGAGGAAGACTAAAAAACACGGGAAAAGAGCACAATAATGTACACTTACGTGGAGTATGAGTCTTGTGAGTTACGTGAATTTGTGTTGTGGTTTCTTTTGGGGTAGTCGTAGATTCGGGTGGTGTGCTTGGAGGCGCGGATGTGGTAGCTGATGTGAAGAGAGTGCGTCAGATTAGCCTTTTTATTTGCAGAGCACGCAAGACATTAAGCAAAAGCATGATAACAGTGAAACGAGGTAAATTATTTATCCTCACGCAGGCAGGCTTGTACAAGGTTGGCCTGTACGCTGATGTGATTGTGCCAGTCGATTGGATAGAGACGGACATAAGCAGCATCAATTGGGAGAGATGGCTTGAAATAAATGATGATCTCTGAGTGCCCATCAGAGTTGCCTTCAAATATCTGAAAATGACAGTCAGTGCAAATATGGTTTCAAACCTCCTGTCAGTATACTTGCATTGTGATTGTAAAAATATATGAATTATTCTGCAACACTCTTACAATAAACATGTCGTTACTTTTTGAGACCTGTAAAAGTGTTACCTGGTCTATCGGCACCCAAATGATTCCATCAACACTGTAGGACGCTGTAAATTTGGTAACCCACTCATCATTCCTTCCCTTGACTTGGATTCCAATGACCTCAGTGCCTGAAGGAAACTGAAACTGTATGTAGGGGTTGCTGGAAAACAGTAAAAAAAAGATTATTCAAGTTTGCAATTCTACCACCTTATAATATAAAGTAAAACTTTTCCTCATGTGGATGTGTTTGAGGTTCTGACGGCATACTTGTCATCTTTGTCCGGCGTCCAGGATTCATGAGAATCTGGCTCAGAACTTGCTGATTCTGGTGATATTTGCTCATCACTTGAGGATGAATATGTTACCTTGGGGATGGTCATTATGTAATAGCAAGCTGCAATGAGAAAAACTAACTGAATTGACATTTCATACCCTTGTATATTGTGAACATGTAACATTTTATTAGTAATATAATACATTTAAATAGCAGTCTCAATGATTGTGGCAAAGTATTTGATATAAATGTACTTCCTTTGAAGGAGGATCAATTTCACTGCACTCTATTGTATGATATATTGTGGACCAGAGTAAAACCACGTAGTGTTAATATTTTATGTAAGTGTATAAACGTTGGGTACTCAAATGAGTACAACAGTCTTACGTGTAGTAAACTGAGTCTTTGGAGTTGTGGTTTCTGCCGGGGTAGTAGTAGATTCGGATGGTGTGCTTGTAGAAACAGGCACCGATGTGGAAGCTGATGTGAAGAAAGTGCATAAGATTAGCCTTTTATTTTCAGAGCACACAAGACATTAATCAAAAGTATAATTACAGTGAAACAAGGTAAATAATTTACTCTCAGGCTGGCAGGCTTGGAGAAGCTGGACATAAAATTTGATGTGATTGTTCCAGTCAATTGGATAGATACGGATATAAGCAGCATCGCTAGGAATAGGCGGACTGAATTTTATTATTTTCACAGAACTTCCATCAGAGTTTCCCTCAAATATCTGAAAAAAAATCAGTTGAACAAAAGTTAGCCAACACTACTGTATTGTGATTTAAAATTGTTACGAACGGTTGCAAAATATTGTGAAAAGTAACATGTGGTAACATCGTGGGGTCTATAAAAATGTTACCTGGTATAAGGGTACCCATAATGTTCCATCAACACTATAGGAAACTGTGAATTGTGTAACCCACTCTTCCATCTTTCCCTTGATTTGTACACCAATGACTTCATTTCCTGGTGTAAAATTAAACTCTATGTAAGGATATCTGGGGGAAAAAAATGAAAAACAAATAAATTACAATTTTTCATGATTGATATTTTACAGTATAATTAAACATAAATGTTAAGGTGAGTGTTTGTGAGGGAGGAAGGCATACTTGTCATCTTTATCTGGGGTCCATGATTCATGAGAATCCTGCTCAGAACTTTCAGAATCTGGCGATGTTTGCTCATCACTTGAAGAAGAATATTTAATCTTCGGGGTGGACATTATGTAATAGCAAGCTGCATTGAGAAAACCAAAATTTAGATATAATGCTCTATGTATTGTGCACATTAAACATGATGAATATAAGGCATAATGAAACTGGAGTCTTAATGAATGTAGCAACATCTATTAGTGAACTTTTTTAGCTTTCAGTATACTTCTAGGCATTCCATGATAATACTTTTGAACAATATAAATATATTCTAGATTTGAAGCTTTCGTGACTGCAAGGATTCATGCTCTTTGGTTTTTTCGGTCAAGTCACGTAGGTAAAATAAAAAATAAAATAAATGAAAACTAAATCAAATCACGACGTTTCGGAGGCAACACAAGCTTCCGTCTTCAGGTGGAACAGTCACAGCAAAATCAACTGTGTCAAGTGAAAAGCTCTAGGACACACGGGTTTATATACAGGTTAAGGGGGGGGGGGGAGGAGTCAGGAAGGGACGTGGGTGGGGAGGGGGGGGGCTCAGTTAAGCCGCCTTTTGTTATCCTGTAGGGGGTTCAGGGAGAGGCGGTGGTGTACTTGCACGTAAAACCACCTTTTGTTATGCTGCAGGGGGTTCGGGGGAGAGCGATGGCGCGCTGCACGGGGGCGAGTACAATTACTGGTATAAACGTAAACGGCTGTATAATTATAAGCCAGCTAAGGTTTGACTTGGTTGATTACATCTTTCCAAAAGTTGCTCAATTTAAAACCATCCTCTCGGTTGAAGTTGTGTCTTTGTTTGTATATCTGGATGGCTTCATGGACAAATCTTTGGTAATAACCGGGAGGTTTGCATAGTACTTTGGTATCGGAGAAAAAATGTCATGAGAACCCGCTGTGTGGAAACAATGATCAGCCACGGCCGAAGAATTCGTTCTGCTGTGTTTCAAATCTGATTTGTGCTCGCGAATTCGGTCAGAAATTTGTCGTTTCGTCTCCCTGATATAGCAGTCACCACAGGTACAACTCAATTTGTAAACACCGGAGTACTGTAAGTCAGGAATGACATCCTTTACGGATGGGATCAGATCACGGATTTTGTGTACTATATTGAACCGGACCTGGATCTTGTGTTTGTTTAGAATTTCAGAACTGTTCACTTGACACAGTTGATTTTGTTCCACCTGAAGACGGAAGCTTGTGTTACCTCCGAAATGTCGTGATTTAATTTAGTTGTTTTCATTTATTTTATTTTTATTTTACCTACGTGACTTTACCGAAAAAAACAAATAGCAATATAATATAATCTGTAATGTTTAAATATTAGGTAAGCAGAGGTAAACCTGATATTGAGAAATACAAATATCTTACACGTAGTTGATTGAGTCTTTGGAGTTGTGTAAATCTCTTTTGTTGTGGTTCCTTTTGGGGTGGTAGATTTAGGTGACGTACTTGTAGAAACAGATGTGGAAGCTGATTTGAAGAAAGTGCATGACATTAGCTTTTTTCTTCTCAGAGCACGCAATACATTAAGCAAAAGATTGATTACAGTGAAACAAGGTAAAGAATGCACCCTCAGGCTGTGGTAGTAGCTAAAATAAATTTAACCATGATTACTAGGAATATATTTTTGAACGTGAAACTAAATAAATGCAGTTTTTTAGTTCAATTAATTCACCTCCGCTGACTTTATCTCACAGCATACAATTAAGTTTAAATAACTTGATTTCATGTGCTTCAGTTTAAAAAAAAATCTCTCGAATGCTATGTCATCATTTGTAAATAAAGTAATGTGCATCTTATCAGCATAGTCTATAAAGCATAAATTAATTCATGTGCTTTAGATATCCTGCCATTATTTTGGTGGTGGATGCAAGGGACAATCATAGGCTGCAGTGGCAACCCACATTATTCGATTTTTAGATGTCATTTCCTTTATTAGAGCATTTGTATCAGATTTAAATTTCGAAAATAGTTATTATAATGCAATTGTTTCTCAAACTTTTTTGGCTCGCGGACCACTCAGCCGATGCAAACATTTCCACGGACCACCCCAGCCAGCCAGCACATCACCCCTGGTGACACAACGCATTCACTTCTCTATCTAAATTACACTCATACTAAATGATTAATATTACCGAACCATAACATTTTTTTGGTAACGCAGCTATAGCGATTTTTTTACGGGGATGGGGTGGGGAATTTTATTTAGATCTTAGGGTTAGGGGTAGTTAATCAGGCTCGTTTACCTAACTTCATTTTTAAATTAAATATAAGTAAAATGTAAATTAATGTCCAAAACCCAAGGTATAAACGTTGTCATTATTGTCCAGATCAACCTGAATCACAGCCCCGCGAACCACTTGGAGGACCGTCGCGGACCACCGGCAGACCACCGGTGGTCTGGGGACCAGACTTTGAGAACCACTGTTATAACACTTGAACAATTTGGTAGAGTTATCCATAGTGCTCACTCCTAGTGATTTCCGTCGTCGCCGAAGTGCTTTCTGAAGTGAATTTCTTGGTGGTAGAATGAGTGCTGGATGATTTTGTAGTGTGTGCAGTGCTGGATGTTGTCTCTTCAACTGAAAAACACAGAACATGAAAATGTGAAAATGTTGCAGGAAAATAGTTTGGGTTTTTAGGGTAATACGGTATCTGTAATTTTTGAAAAAATCTCTTCAGTATTCACTTCCTACCTCTTCACAAATAGTCATATATACATTAGGCACAAATGTAAAATTCTCTGGAGTAATATTTAAGATATAAGGTGTAACATTACAGAAGGTAATGATGTGCCATTCTTGTCTTATTACTTTAGAGGTGGGGAATAGTATATGTTGCGTAGATATTTACTGTGGCACATCTGCATATTGCCAAAAGAAGTGGGTTCTTTTGCAGTATCTTCACAACTGTTTCCAAACAAATTATGATGAGGAGATCAACAGCCAATGCCAGTGTTGCTCCCTCTCCTTTGCCCCATCCCACAACTTCCAAGGTCTGCCTCTACAGTATCCCATCACTTGGCTTCAGGTCTTCCCCTTGATTCCCAACCCTGGGTGCTATTTAAATTTCTGTCAGTAGCCTTTACCCGATTACATGCCCCACGCATGGCAAACCTTACTTGATTACATCCACACAGCTTTTCTGTGATACTTCGTTTTCTAAATTGAGATCCAAATTATCGTGCATGCACCTTTATATTCTGAGGTGAAAAATAAGCTTGTGTTCCATTTTCTTTGTGTCAGCTGACCAATTAATCAGAGCTTAAACACTTGTCTCTTAAAATAAATTACCTTTCTTTTCTTCCAAAGTGGTTAATTGTATAGTCCACCAAAAACCCATCACACTAATAAAACAAGTATTTTGACCTCCCACTCACAATGCCTTGTCTTGTGCACATTACCGTTAAAATACGGAGGGAGCCTAAATAAAAAAAACCACGAGCAATCCACTGAAGTTATTAAAAATAAAGCTCTGCCTTTTACATATATGCTTTGAAACACGTATAAACAATTGTGCATAAAACAACGTTCATTAACAAATAACGATATGGTATGAATCGAGGATTACTTACGAGGCAGTGTAAATTCGGGTAGTGAGTAAGTAAGATCAAGATGTGTAGCCCAAGGAGATGTAGTACTTTTTTTAGTTGATTTTTGAGTGCTTGTATGGGTTTCCGCTGTATAAATAAAAGAATCAAACATTAATTCAGATATGTAACCAAACTAAAAATAACAATTTCCTTTTTCAAAAGTGTACAAAGTAAACTTACTTATTGGTACTTTAGTGGTACTTGGAGAGGAAGTGGATGTCTTCAAAGTCGTTGTCTCAGTAGAAGTTTCAAATGGTGTGGGAGCTAGGAAAGACATAAAATATCGTCAAGTGGCATTACACGATCACACACACTGTCAATATTAGCTGTTCCGTTACTTATGTAGTTATAGTAATTCTATTTTACAGTACTTTTGTCAGTCACACACTCACTTTGGTGCACCTTGAGTGCAATAATATATTTGAATCGATGCATCATTGTGCGTGTAATAGTGCAGCTACTAGAAGTATAAGTTGGTCCATACATGCAAGGAAGTCATAACGATTACAACCCTCTGACCAGTTTTTGTGCAATGAAGCACAACACTTGATACTACTTTAACCTATTTAAACATGTATGTTGAACTTATTTTGGATCGTACGCAGCCAACCTTGATAATCGGAGGTGCGGGGGAAGGAAAACAAACTAAACACAAAAATCTGTTTTGAATCAATTAGTTTTCAATATGGAATTAAGCGTGCATAAACATAGAAGACTTAGTCTATTTCAAGACAATTGACATGGCATTTTATGAAATCAAAAGTAAAAAAAAAAGGATCCCAATACTCAAATAAATTGGAAAGATAATTCAAGAGAAGCAACAAACATGACCACATGATTGTATGTACTTACTGATCTGGCAGTGACAGTAAACTCTGACTTCATAGTTGAGGCACTGAAGTTCTGGTTGCAGTCTGTTATAGCAATGTAGACCGTACATTAAATCACACGTCACGCCATATTGTCCAGCTTCGTCGTACGCCAGGGGGGTGTCCTTTACGCGGCACTGAATTGTCACGGGTGATTCGCAGAAGACATACAATCGACGTAGGTTTGTGAAGCTCTCAAGGTCACCTTCCTTGTCCGTAAAGGGTGAGTCTGAATCCATCCAATCTGACCAGCCATGCTTGATACACCCTGGAGGCAACAACTTTGGGGTTGTACTTGGTGGTAGGGTGGTTGGCGGAGAAGTTGTAGCAATCGTAGTTGTTGGCTGCTCAGTAGTTACCGACTGACAGCAAAATCGCACTTCATAGTCAAAGCAGAGTGGGTAATTAATTTGATCGTCGTTGTGGCATGAAAGACCGCTGTTACTGCAAACCACACCAACTTGATGGGTCGCATACCATTGTACATTCAAACCACTTACACGGCACTCAACACCAGACACAGCAGATTCGTCACAATAAGAGTATTTTAGATGTAATGCGGTGTGGGATTCAAAATCACCACCATTGCCAATTGATGGTGAACCACTATTCATCCACTCTGTCCAGTATCCACCTGCACACTTCTGATACACGTACAGGAAGACAAATGTTTGGTTACAAAATCTACCATAACTGAATGCCAAATAATCAACACTGACATAAAAACCTCGCATATGTAAGTGAACAGACAATATATAATAAAAAAAATAGATTCCTATGTCAGCCTTCTTCTTTCATCTGTTTTTAACGCTCATGTTATAATTCCAAGTGTACGTTGGTGATCAAAAGAATTGCTTTAGGTGGCATGGAGTGGATGGTGTCGAATCAGTCTGAACATGTATACGTACTTGTATCTACACTTTCAATATGTAAGGTATACGTCTGAATACTTTATGGACTATTCAAATAATTAAGTTAAAGCTGTGTTATCCAAAACTCAAATATATAAAACGTTAACTACTGTATTATCAAGGATCATAATGTCAATTACTTATAATTCGGCATCGTTAAAAAATATGCAGCTTCGTCCCCATTTAACAGGATCGGCCAAGTCCAAATGAATTGAAGGATGTACAAAACAATCACCTGTTACATATTTAACAGAAACCAATTTATTTTGTATTTTCAGCTACTTTCACAATGCCCATTAACAATTTAAAATGGTCATCGATGTCTCGAACAAGCACAAATATTGATTTTAACTTCAGTTCAACGTAAACATGTTAGATTCTGCAATCAAATACTTGCCTCTCTGGGTTGCGTAGTACTTTCAGGAGTCTGTGAAGTGGTGGTTTCCAGAGTGGTGATTTCTGGAGTTGGCGTTTCGGGAGTGGTGGTTTTGACAGTGGGGATTTCTGGAGTGGTGGATTCTGTAGTGGTGGTGGTAGTTTCCAGAGTGGTGATTTCTGGAGTTGGTGTTTCTGGAGTGGTGGTTTTGACAGTGGGGATTTCTGGAGTGGTGGATTCTGTAGTGGTGGTGGTAGTTTCCAGAGTGGTGATTTCTGGAGTGGTGGTTTTGACAGTGGGGATTTCTGGAGTGGTGGATTCTGGAGTGGGGGATTCTGGAGTGGTGGTGGTAATTTCTGGAGTAGTTGTTTCTGTAGTGGTGGTTTCCAGAGTGATGATTTTTGGAGTTGGTGTTTCTGGAGTGGTGGTGGTTTCCAGAGTGGTGATTTCTGGAGTTGGTGTTTCTGGAGTGGTGGTTTCCAGAGTGGTGATTTCTGGAATGGTTGTTATTTCTTCAGGTGTTGTTGAAATTTCTTCATACCCTGTGGTGGTTGATTCTGGATATGTACTTTGCGACTTAGTAGTAAATTCTCCTGTCGGACTAATAGTAGTGGGTTTACAAGGCTGGCCTAAACAGTGGATGCGTCCTTTGGAGCAGTAACTGAAACACAGAGTACCACATGTATGGCCACATTGTAAGTGTCTTATGAATTACTGTATATAATATCAGACCTAAATTGATAACAAGAGTCTTTGATTTAAAGCTTTCGTGACTGCAGGGATTCATATTCTTGGTTCTTTCGGTAAAGTCACGTAGAAGGGAAACAATAAAATAATAAAAATATAAAACAATAAAATGATCACGACGTTTCGACTGCAACACAAGCAATCATCATCAGGTGTGAAAACCACAGCAAGAACATTTGAAAAAAGTGGCGTTTTTTTACGTTAGCACCACGGAGAGCGATTTGTCAGTTATTCAGGTGGACGAGTCCATCTATGTTCGGAAAAGATTGTTCACGCTTACGGTGGCTTTCAGACCGCATCCATTATTTTCGTCTCCCCCTCCTCTTTTCCGAACATAGATGGACTCGTCCACCTGAATAACTGACAAATCGCTCTCCGTGGTGCTAACGTTAAAAAAAACCGCCACTTTTTTCAAATTTTCTTGCTGTGGTTTATACACCTAATGATGATTGCTTGTGTTGCAGTCGAAACGTCGTGATAATTTTATTGTTTTATATTTTTATTATTTTATTGTTTCCCTTTTATGTGACTTTACCGAAAGAACCAAGACTATAACAAGAGTCTTGTCTGTAGCATTGATAAAAACAAACCATCACAATTAGCTCATATTACTTTTATTATTTAGTTGCAGTGACATAGTCGCCTGGTTCGCATGGGCCCTGGTGCAAGGAATTAAACAGGGCCCCCTGTCCAATTTCTCCCCTCTATGTAGCGTGATACCTGGGCCTCTCCAGCCCATGGGTCCTGGAGCAGTTGCATACCTTCAAATAGCGATACTACTGGGTTATATGTCACACTTAAACTATTAGAAGTTGCATTATGAAGGTCATAGTATATATACACTATGACCTACTCTTGAATGTTACGTAGTATGGTCTTAAAAATATGCTTCACAACAATGTAATTGGGTAATGCTGTGCTGAAATTACATTGTGAAAAGATGTGGAGCATACACACAAGCCAAATGGGAAGTGTGATAATCCTAAGGCTTTTAATTTGCATGCTACATTTTAAAATTACTTAAAACTCTTTCTATACACGGTTTAAACCTTTTTCATTTGACCTTGTTGGCTATTTATTTATCATCATATAGTATTTACTATATGGGCACAAAGTATAATTTTTTACCCTATTCTTTGGTTCTTTCGGTAAAGCCACGTAAATAGCAAAATAATAATAATAACAAGCGCTTGTGTTGCAATCGAAACGTCGCTTGTGTTGCGATCGAAACGTAATTATTATTCACTTCATTATTATTTTTCTATCTACGTGACTTTACCGAAAGAACCAAAGAATATGAATTCCTGCAGTCACGAAAGCTTTAAGTCCAAATTATTATCTTGTTGCACAGCATAAGCTCGCATAAGGCTTTGCATCCAGCTGAGATAGCTGGATGCAAAGCCACACTACTGTTGGATGAGGGCTCAACATTGCATGTTTACTGGGCAGTAGCTTATATAAACAGTGCCGATACAGTCATTTACAAATACTCTCATCTTGTATTATGTACCTATTCTGTAAAAGTTTGTAATTTTAACAAAAATGAAACACAGCACAAAAAGTATTTAATTAATGAGCTACAGAACAATTCTAATTATTTGACAAAAATAGAGAGGCATGCGTATTGACATTGGGTAAATGATAACTCGTGAAGACTATGCACACGCATACTAGGAAATGTTACGATCTCCAAAGTTGTAAATTTAATTACAGTGTCTTATTTACAACCAATTACATCTTGAAATACATGAGGCAGCTCTACCTACGTAAATGTTTTTTCTTCATTGATCGGGTGTTCTTACCATGTGTGACACTTGTCTGACATTGATGGTATCACAGCGCCTTCCTTGTATTTTATTCCAGCCACAATTATACAGAATACGCACTCGTCCTCCTTGACACAGCTTTTCTCGGACTCATCCAAAACCTGGTGTCGCGGAGACATTCACAAGGAGAGCAACAAATCAACTGCACTACTCAAATGGTTTCATTCGTTGTACATTCTTACGCTCAGCTTGTTCAAATTGTAGTTGCTAACGAGGCCATTGACAGGTAAAACATTGAACAAAAGCAAGACAACAGCAGCCCCTTTTGCCGATCTACTGTTGGATGAGGGCCTCTCCCCACACCGTGCGAGTTATGCGGGTTATATGACCATACTTCACCGCGCTGGTCAGTGCGGGTTGGTTAATGCGGAGAGCGCACATGTGGGAGCAGAGGAGTACAGTATACAACAATGGATTTTTTTCAAATTTTCTCGCTGTGGTTTTCACACCTGGTGATGATTGCTTATGTTGCAGTCGAAACGTCGTGAGAATTTTATTGTTTTATATTTTTATTATTTTATTGCTTCCCTTCTACGTGACTTTACCGAACGAACCAAGAATATGAATCCCTGCAGTCACGAAAGCTTTGAATCAAAATGTAGGATTATGAGTGTTTAGCATATGGGACGAAACCGGAATACCCAGAGACAATCCACCAAGTCGATGATGTGAAACCACTCTAAGGTTTGCGTTCACAAACACTTTCTTTTCTTTCGGTAAAGTCACGTAGAAGGGAAACAATAAAATCATAATAAATAAATAAAAATATATAAAACAATACAATTCCCACGACGTTTCGACTGCAACACAATCGATTGCTTGTGTTGCAGTCGAAACGTCGTGAGAATTTTATTGTTTTATATATATTATTTTTGTTTTATTGTTTCCCTTCTACGTGACTTTACTGAAAGAACCAAGAATATGAATCCCTGCAGTCACGAAAGCTTTAAATCGAAACTTTCTGTTCTGCCATCACATGTCCACCTCCAAGCACAGCAGGTTATAAAGATTCACAGTTCAGCGTGATTCACCAACCCTTGCCTCTAAAGCGCTAGATTACAGGTGTGTGGCGGCATGTGTGCTCATTTATGCGGTATTCAGGAAAAAAAACTATTTTAAGGTTTATTAAATGTATTCATGCAGGATGCTTACGTAGCCATCGGGACAAGCACAGCCCTCCACGCAGCTGTCCTTGCAGTTAGACAAGACGTCATTATAGAACATGGCATTGCTGCATGTCTTGGGACACGCTGAGGTGCAAGCTGAGTACTCCATTGGGCAGTGGCCGCATTGCATAGCTAAGGATGGAACATGAAAGAGAGAAAACATGGTCACAAGGGATATGCAAACAGCTTCAAAGTGCGTTGTTTTATCTGGTTAATGAACAACCTCAGACCTAATTTAACATTTTCTATTATAACATTATATATCAGTAGTCTATTAAACACACAAAACAAAAAGCCATTATTTTTCAGCATTTTCTTCAGCATTAACGCATGAGTCAACCTCCCAATTAAATAAAAATGTCATGATTTAGGGCTGTCATTGATACTAAGAATCAGGTCCTTTTTTACAAAGTGGTGACTACATGGCATGCAACATAAACAAATACAAAGTTTTGCATTTTTATTATTCCTTTTCATTGCATATATAAGCGAGCTAGAAGAATCAATATGAATTGATGAATCATTTAATTAATTTCTTCACCACTATTAAATGTATACAAGTAAAAAATAAAAAATAAAGTTTAGTGTAATATCCTATTCCCATTATTCTATATGATTAGCATCTGGTAATTTTAATATCTAATACCTTAACTCGGTGAATACAGGTTAGATCACGAAATAAAACGATTACAAATTGCCCCCTGTGGTCGAATACTTTCGTTAGATGAAATTGTGAAGAAGTTTGGGAGTGTAGCCTCGTGATTGCTACAGAAATATCTCCCAATTCTGGCAATTTTTTTTCAACAATAAAAAAGATATAATTGCCGTGTTGTGCTGATCTTCTATTTGTACGTAGGAGGCATCTTATAAAATGAAGAGGTGATTATGTGAATAGTCCTTAGCATTTACAAGCCAGATCAAAAAGTGACCACAAGAGAAAGATGAGGGTTGTTTGAAAACTATATCAAGTACACCTCCGAGGTCTGTTCTGGGAGACATGTCCAACAATTCCACGCGCAACCAACGTCGACATCACAACAAAAATCAAGTGGCACAGCTTTGGAGGCAATCTAGAAGCCAACGGCACTTCACTTACGGCAGAGTTCGTCGCTCCTCCACTCGATGGGCACACCGTTTGCACTGCACTCGTAGGCGTACGCCGCAATGGCCGTGCACAGGCACTCGCAGTCACCGCCGCTATCGCAGCCACACGCATCGTAGAGGCAGCGGTCAACGTACGGCGCCACAGCGACCACGCCTTGACAGTCGGCGAACAGAGATGAGCGGAGCACGCCGCACTTGCGCTGCGACCACGCAGCCCGGTGAGGGTGCGTCAGGCACGTGTCGTTGATGACCACGGCCGGTGCGCAGTACGCGTGCACCTGCGTCGCATGGCACGCAGTGGGGGAGAACGGCAGGGGGGGAGGGGGGCGGAAGGTGTGGGGGTAAGGGGGGGGGGTTGATAAATCGAGGGGCAGGAGGAGGGTTGGGATTTGAGACAGAATTGTTGAGTTCATCAAATGCAACTCGCAACAACAAACTGCACAGTGAAAGGCATTGGTAGTGGCAAAAGGGTCTGTGGCAGCATTTTCTCGACTGACATTTTTTTTTCAAACTTGGACAGTATTTACAGTTGTATCGAGTGTAATATAATAGACAAGGCTATTATTCCCACCTTCCAGCTGTCACCGAATATGTTTGGCATCTCTTCAGGTGGTCCTGCAGCTGGTGTCACAAAGTCATCATTCTGATCACCATTGAAGTTTCCACATAAGCCTTCCACCTGTGGGATTAGATGCAAATATGATTACAACAAATATAAAAGTGCAATTGTCACCATAGATATTGCTAAGAATAAATATAATTATTGTCTTTGCTAGTTATAGAATTGTACCATTTGCTTTTAATATCTACATTCTTCATGACAGCTAATTTAGAGTCCCCAATTCCTGTCGCGCTTGGAAGAGTTGAGACTCAAGCTGGGCAAACGATGGTTCCAAACTACACATATCAGGAACACTACTTAGAACCCTACTTACTTTCTTGCTTGCTTCCATCCTTTCAAATCTAAACACACGAAGGATTCTCTGACCCCCGATGCAATGAAGAGCAAAGCACATCCGTGTGTGCGGGCAGCTCACGTACCAAACCCATGTATTTGGGGTGAAGCCTGATGTAGAGCCGTGTGCTGTAGTCCCACTGGATGGACACGCCGATGGGAGTGTCGACGAACAGGTAGAGACCTGCGCGGCGAATGATGAAATTGCCGGTGGGGTCCACGACATTTTTCCCCCGCACCAGATCTATCTTGAAGATATCGCCGTTGTGAGCACGCCAGTACTTGAGACCGATGTTCTTGGTGCAAGTTACACCGCTGCTGCCGCACGGCACGTTCTCGACCGTGAGGACGAAGCCGTCGTTGTCCACGTCGCCCATGTCGGTCAAGTTTAAGCTGCTGTAGTCTATCAGGCTGTAGATTGTCCGCGCAAGCACATACTGGCAGTTGCCCTGGAAGTCATAGGCACGTCCGTCGAAGGTCTTGTAATGCGGGTCGCCATACACCGAGCACACGCCCGGGCAGCGCTTGTGCTCACACTCCCAAACCTGTCCATTGCACACACTGTAGTGCAGAAAAGAAACAAAATGAATCCAGTTATCATCAATGTGTGCTTTTTGTAAACACTTTCAATCTCATGATGAAAGTGTTAATATGCATTAGCTCTGTCCGTCTCGTCGTTCAATCCATAACAGGGGTGGGGGCTCTAACACTTTATTAAATATGATCCAGTACCAATTAATATTTGGTCTAAAAAAGTTGTGTTGCTCTGAGGGACCAACCCCCGATTGATATCTGGCAAAATTGATCAAGTGTCACCCAAAATTTGAAGCAAGCCAGAGGAAGACATATTTTCAACAACGAACAACTGTTGAAAAGAGTTACGAAACCCATGCGGATGGACATTTCTTTAATCAAAGGAATTTAGAAGATGTTGCCTTCTTGAGAAGAGACAGGGACTGGTGGTATGGACAGCTCAAGCTATGCAGCAGTTACAGTGAGTGTGTATATGTGCTGAACCACTGCCTAACATCGAACTCGCTGCTGGGACATTGTCCAACAAGCACATTACAAGGACACTATCCCTACAGCACCCATGCTACTGTTAATCATAGCTTGCCCCTTTAAAGCGGTTAATTCTCAAATATATAGTCCATGATGAACTCCTTATATAAACACTGCCAAGTGTTCCTGCTTCTCAGTTACTGAGTGTGTCTGTGTTTAGGAGTGTTGGTTGAGAAAGTTTTCAATGTAACAATTTTAAATGGGCTACAGCAATATTGCAGTAGTTCTCAGACTGTGCTATGAATGTGATGACCCATGAGTTACATTCCCGGCCACGGTTAACATGAGTGCCCAACGATATCTTAATTGGTTCTGGGTCTCCCCTCCCTACCCTCCCCCCACCTCTTTACCAACACCCAATGACCAGTATGGTGAAGTAAGGTCATTCAACCCTCATTCCTTACACAGCATGGGGAGGCGTTCATCTGGCACTGGATTGACAAAAACTCTAGATTATTATCAATGAATTCAGTGCCTGAAGAAGCTCCCAGCACGTGGAGCTAAACGTCAGACATCATGCATAACAACACTAAGTACAGCACAAAAGCACACCAGAGCTATCCAGAAGAACCACTTAAACCCTACGTAGTAGTACTATTTATTACTGGACACCTTACCAGTTGTTGCAGTCGAGTGTGATGCTTTGTCCCGTTTGGAAGCTTTGTCCACCGTGATAGCAAGGGCAATTGGCGGGTTGCACACATTTAGAGCCGTCCCACACCAGACCCGTCGAGCATTCGCAACCAGCATCGCATGTCTCCGTGATGCAGCTCGACAGGCTGGGCTGTATGGGGACAGGCAGAATGGCATTAGGTGGGATTGGGATGAGAATACTGTATATAAACACCAACAAGACACCACGTGGCTGTCAGGTTTCAGAGATGCCATTCACAATAGATTGACCGTTCAGTGCGAAGGGAAATGTCATTCAAACGGTTTCACTCACACACGCAGGCACTGGTGAAGTTAGTTTGACAAAGAGGTGGGGTTATTGGTGAATATTTTTGGGTGGTTTTCCCTGTGATGTTGCGTATGTTTCTGTATGAAGGCATGACACGGTAGTTTCTTGGTGTGTGAGCATGTATAGATGTATGTTGAACTTCTTCCACACCGTACGTAGTCAACCAAGCTAATCCGAGGTGTGGGGGAAGGACAACAAACTAAACACAAAAAGCAGTTTAAAAAAATGAATTTTAATCTTGATTTAAAAGTGCATAGCTCCAGTGGCACTGTAAAAGTGCATCGCACTTGAACATGTATAATGTATGAGACTTGCCAATCCTGAAACCTCCTGTTGGGGCGAATGCGGGCAGCCAAATTACAACTGGTCAATTCTGCTCGCAACTCATTTATACTGTCATTGCCAATTATGGCACTTACCGCACATGTCTTTAGGTAAACCCGCCTTGTAACATCTGTTTGTGCATGCAGATAGCAACTGCCTGTTGTCAAAAACTATTTGTTGAACAACAAAAAAACTAATTCCGTTTTAGGTAAATTGCTCAACTAATTTAAACAAGGGGGAATGTTTTATTTGAATGGTATTGAAGCCCAAATGACACCGCAATACCACCATCACCCCCTGCTGGCTATTGTTCAGTATTTAATGGCATCTTATTGTGAAGACAAGGTAATCCGTCGCCCTCTAGTGGTTACTCTCACACATGACCCCTCCCTTAACCTGAGAGCTCTGCGCTCATTTATTTCACAGCAGTGCATAGCATGATACTCATCAACATGTGCTGATTTTAGGCTTATCAACTTGCAACCTGTAGGAGCGCGAGGCCTTTTGAAGATCGACAGAGTTGAACTATCTTGTGAGCTACAAATACAAATATCTCCCGTATTGTTGGGGCAAGTGCTGTTAGTGAGCACCTATGATGATCGGCACGGTACAGCATCACGCCCGACCGCCTTTGTTTCCCCAGTGGCGATATTTATACACCACTCTAGGTACTCATTTGAGGCTGAGTCAACCTAGGGGAGGCCCAGGATCGGTTGAAATAATAGTCACTGGTGTTGGCCATGAGCAGGAATTAAACTCGGGTCGCTGGGTTTGTGGCGCAGAGCGCTAACCGCTGCAATGATGAACACAGACACACGCACAGAAAGTGACGGAGGCTTACAGATGCAGAGATGAGTAGACCAACGCAGAGAGACACGCGGAGATACACAGAGAGAGAGAGACATAAAGAGAGACCCTGAGAGAAACAAAGACACGAAGAGGGAGAGACAAGAATATAGGAACAGAGAGACGTATGAACAGGTAAGGCGAGAGCACGGCACTAGAATGCACTACTGTGGTGACATGGCCTAAGGGAAGCAAGTTCGTAGCTTTTGTTCAGACGTTTGCAGTTCGAGCCCAGCGGCTACTCTGGTTATTACTGAGGGTGTGATAGCCATAAATAACCATACATTTGGGGCGCCGTAGTGGCGAGATATTAACTCCCTCGTCTGGTATGCAGGAGGTCGTAGGTTCGATCCCGATTCCGACCCCGACCCTGACGCCTGTATATTTGGAGTTTACATGTTCTTCCCATCGTCACGTGGATTTTGTTTGGGTCCTCCGGTTTTTTCCCCTCCACATTTAGAAAAAAACTCCTTTAAGAGTATTTGGCTGCTTTAAATTTCAACGTGATAAGCCAATTCATTGAGCTATCATTTGTGGCCAGGTTGCTTCTCAAAAAAATATCAATATAGCTCAGTGGGCCTTATCTGGTAAAAAAAAATATAGTTTAATCTGCTTTACAGTGAAAGTTAAAGATGCCCTGACACGATTTGAAAGGACTTGATCATTGTTTATTGGTGTCAGGGTCCCAATTGGCCAAATTCGAAATTTACTCACAAATTACGCAAATGGATTTGCACACAGCAGCAATCATCACCCCCTACAGTCAGACAAATGCACATTTTCAGGCCAGGTGCTGTCACCTTGTGCCCACATGGACAGCTGCCACGAGGGGTGCCATTTAATATATATTGAAATTAAATGTAAGGTGCTTTGACTTAGCTGAGGTATTTGAGAGCTATATAAATGCAAGATTATTATTAAATCAAGGGAGTTTTTATCACACGTAGCATTACATGAAACTGTTGCTGCCGCATGCTGAATTTGGTAACAAGGCCTTTTGCAAGTTTATCCAGTGAAACAGGATAAAAATGTATACTTTGCGCTCAAATCATAAATACTAAATAAATAGCCAACAAGATCAAATGATCAAATGAAAGAGTTGTAAGCCATTTGAAAGTGGTCTGAGATTCCTCGGCGTAGAGGGTGCTATGAAAAAACAAATCATTATTATTACAGAAGGACAAACGGAGAGGAATATAGACGTAAATGGAGCGAGAGAGATACCGAGATAAAGAGAGAGACACAAACAGAGGACGAGTGGTTTTCTTCCGGGAATGAGCGTGGCGCCCCTCTGGGATTGGGTGCTTACGTTGTTCATGTTGCCGCAGGTGACAGGGCAGGAGGACTTGCATGGGGACCACTGCATGTTTTCGGGGCAGAGGCCGCTGTCGTCAACGCAGCCTTCCGAGCTCCAGCAGGACCATCCGCCATACTCGCACGTGCTGCAAGCGGGCAGGCGGGAGTGGGAGAGACACCGTGAGCTCATTGCAAACACATACCCACGTCACGATTGGTCATCAGACGTGGCTTGCTCAGGAACGGTCTCGTCCCTGCCATATAAAACGTGGAACTTCTGACATTGGACTGATTCAGAGCAACAAAGAGAAGGCTTCGACCACGTTAAAGTGGGAAACCACCGTAAAAATATATATTTTTCACATTTTAACTTTAAGTGTTATGAGTTATTCGTAAATCTTATACGTAGGCTTTCAAGACCAATATAATTCATAGCTCATCGAATTCCTCCAGTCTAAATAAAGATTATGATTCTATGTCGGTCTAATGCCAATTGTCAGCTATACCCTCTGCCACCCGACATAGCCAATCAAATCAGGCTGTAACATTGGGCACAAATGCCAAATGATTTGTTTTTTCAGCGAACTGGGGGAAGAATGATGGAAAGCAAGTAATTTTTTTTATAATTGTATACGTTTCGTTGGAGATTGCATCCAGCAATATCATGTGTTAACACGTGAGAGGTGAGATGTCAACACCTGATAATGCTGTCCAGCGAAACCTCACCATAAAATAGTAAAAAATTAGCTTGATCTTCACAATTCTGGTTTGCTGAAAAACCAAATCATTTGGCTTATTTTCCCATGTGACAACTTCATTTGATTGTTTCTTTGGGGTGACAGAGGGTATAAGTGAAAATTGGCATTATACTAACACGATCTAACCCAAGAGCAACTAACTGTGAAACATAGTTGCTAGGAGTATAGGCAGACTATATTTTGACGAGGTCAGAACCCATTGACGCTCCAAGTCTCTTGCAAAAGTGACCTGGGTCGATAAATATATTGCTCAGCATCATATGCAGGAGAATTGACCGAATTTAATTAACTCCCAGCTAAACTGAACATCGAAATTCATGGTATTCATTGCTATCTGCCTGGTTGACAATGCTCACCAGTTTTTGCAGCCCATTTGCAAAATGCTGCCTGGCGCGTAGTTTGTGCTGCTGTAAGAACACTTGCACTGGCTCTGATCCACACAGCTCAGACCATCGAAATCAAGGAGAAGTCCATCTGGGCAGTTGCAGCCCTCCGCACATTCCTCGTGACAATCCTGCTTCCCACAACACGCACAAGACAGGAGGCTTACATGTGCACAACGACAGCAGAAGCCAGGTAACTTGATAGCATATTGACTGCTATCATCATCCGCCTCCTGTGATTTTTTTAATAAAGATTAATATAATTGATTGGTCTTTATTGAGTCTTCTTAACTCAAATTGTAATCATTGCATAAACATTATTTTTTTGTCATTACGCTACCGGCAACAGTTACGATTCAGGACTTGATACCATTTTTTTTACTTCTCCCCACTATCTACTAAACAGACTTCTTTCATCATCCAGTAATAGAGAGCTCTCTTCTGCTTGGCCTTGTACAACCCTTTATCAATCCACTCACTCCTCTCCGAAGGGTTCCTAGTAGCATGTCGGTCATGGAGGTTGTTTGACCGTACGTTTAGACATTGGCCAACCGGGGACTGGTTCAGATATCACTCGCCACTAATGTTAGCCATGGCCAAGAATGAAAGAGAGCTCGCCAAGTTCATAGAGATATGCGCTAAGCACTGCACCACCGCTCCACCCCATGTATGGCACTAAACCAGGAATTTTATTCGGAATGCTTTCAATGCATACTGATCTTGTTCACAGTGTTAATTAGAAGGGGTAACATGTTGTACAGCTGATATTTTAAGGTAGATGGCAGGCACCTCAATGTTGCTCAGCGAGGCACAGGTACTCCTGCACGAAGAGGCACACTGCTGGTACACCATGTCACCGGGACACGTCACGGCTGAGGGAGAATTGACGTGACATCATAGCATCAGATCACATCGTTTACGCGACAGCTCCAGCACAACATTTACAGTTTAAAAAATGTATACACTGCATGTTCATAAACTACGTGTGATCATTGATATGAAGCCAATACAACTGTCGTGCTCAGTATGTCATTATGTAGACAGGTTTACTGAATGACAGAACACTCACTGCAATCTAGAAGTAGACGCCAGTTGGCCAGGACGACTCCTCGAGAAGCACAGATGTACGCGTAGTCTGCGAATGTCTTACATTCGGCGCCTGTCAGAGCTCCAGCTGTGCACACCTCATATGTGCAGTCCTTTTTGAAAGCATCCGGGTTGACACGTGTGTGGCATACTAAGAAAATAAAGAGGAGCAACGTAGTTGTACAGAGCGTTGCGTTCAATGCAGTGCCGCGAACAAATCACACAGAGCTAGGTGTCGACGCTTATTGGAATGAATGTTATTGTTTGTAAAATGGACGAGCTGGTACATGTCAGAATATGTCTTTGCAAAAACATATCCTGCTCGCACACAATATAATTATCTGAGGTTCATTGTTAAAGGGCAGCTTATAAATCTGAATTGTTGTGATTAACGCAATCATAATTTTGACGTCGTTGAATTAATGCATTTACGACACAGTGGTGCGCTTTTTAAGTCAAATAAGTTACAGATTCCATACACTTCCACTCAATCGGGATGCTGTTCTAAGCCATTGTGTGAATCATAGTGTCCCGAGAGGAGCGAAGACTGTTCGGCATATCTGCAGATGTCAAGAGTATACGTACAGTTAAATGGGTCGTTCATCAGTTTGTTGCAAGTCTCTTGGGCGGCCGAGTTGAGCTGGGCGTACGTGTTGCACGGAGACGCCAGCGCCAGCGAATTGGCTTCGGGGCACGAGTTGGTCGCTCCCTGCGCCACCTTCCAGCGAGCGGTGAAGGCCCACACCTCGATCTCGACATCTCCTGCACGCGTCATGAAGTCGTCGCGCTGGTCGCGGGTGAAAGTGCCGCACAGCCCGGCCACCGTGCCTTCGAGCTCGGGCGGAGCCGTCACGTACAGGCGCCGCACGCCATCCCAAACGATGCGCATGCCGTTGTCCAGAGTCACCTGCAGGGATGATATCACTGTGTTTTTATTTTTTTAAATGCAAGTCAGAAGTTCCCACGTGAACAGGAAAGATGTTTAAAAGTTGAAAAGTGCACGAAGAGGCATGGAGATATCCATGCTTTATGAGAGACAGAAAAAGGAACACACGGATCATCGGGGAGCAAACACAAATCAGAGACTCTAATTGACAATGAATAAAAATAAGTGGGCTTGTTTTACGATACATCACTGGACGGGATTATAGCTGATAGACAGGACTGGTGATAAAATGTCAGCCATCGGAGAGAACGTGCCCACAAGATGATGACCACCATGGACATGGAGGGATGAGATCAATGCATGTGCACTAATGAGATCAACGGTAGCAGCAGATGGTGACCGCACGGATTGACATTGGCCGATGATGAAGCCTCCCACGTGGCACTGTGGACAATTCTGGTGTAAATATACATGTGACACAGATGTCTATGAAATAAATCATAACCAGTGATATATATAATATCTGTGTCACGTGATTTGATTCATTTTATAAGTAGGCTTCATAATTAGCTTCCTTCAGGTCAGATTGTGTGGGTATAATGTCGGCCGTTGGAGGGTAATAGTTAAAAATTGACATTATACCTACACGATGTAACACAAAAGAAACTAATGATTAGTCATGTCATTTGATGTTTGATTTCGAGGTCATATAAAAAATTATGTAAAAAAAGAAACATCTGGTAGTACATATTGAATATAAAAATGTCCTTTATTTATCTAGCGAAGCCTAACTGAGTCTGAAGACTTTTTTTTCAGAAGGGTCATGCATTAGGATGATTGATAAATAAGTAGCTCAGAGATTGGCCAGTGAGGCTTCGTCATTTTTGTCGGCCACTTCATGTTTCTGGTGTTCACAGAGCCACCCATAGAGCTCATACTTGGCGCTGTACTTACCCTCACAAACTGGACAGAGACACGTTCCACCAGGAGGCCGGGGATTTTCCGGGGCAGTTCCCCGATACGCCACCCGTTGAGCAGACACTCGAGAGGCCCTTGGAGGCGCAGCGCTTGTCCAGCAGCACGAATGTTGACGGCGCGGGAACACTGTGTGGTGATGGGGCGGCACGATTCAGGTCAGGGGTTGCGTGCATCGAGGCGAGTGGGTTGATGTGTTCTTCCCAGACGCAATTAGGATGTGAAGTTTGTTCTTTCACAAGGTGACAGCACAATGAGATGAAGTGGGTTTTTGTTTTGTTTTTGGTGTTGTTGGGATAATGTTGTTGACTACGTGAAGAAATTTCGATTTAAAGCTTTCGTGACTGCAGTGATTCATATTCTTGGTTCTTTCGGTAAAGTCACGTTGAAGGGAAACAATAAAATAATAATATATATATAGAACAACAAAATTCTCACGACGTTTCGACTGCAACACAAGCAGTCATCATCAACGTGACTTTACCGAAAGAACCAAGAATACGTGAAGCAAGTTAAAAAAGACATATTAGAAGGGGAGTAAGGCGAGGAGACACGCTTCTGCCAAAGTTATTTAAAGTGTCATAATTTTGTTGCAAGGACATTCATTTTCCACCTGGAGTTTGGGTGATGAGAACTGGTTGTCAGTGGATTTAAAAATGCAAAATATATTAAGACAAAATGTGTTCATGTAATCATACATTCAGATGTGTAATAATAGATTGCTATGTAATTATTTATCAATGCAGTGTTATGTAACTATCACCATGTTGACCTTATTTTATCCCTTATTAAAAAAAAAACCTGTTCAGATGATTCTACGAATATCGGAATATTATGGATAGGCGTACCTTGTGGTAATGCCTTATATCGATAATCCCTACTCGAAGCCAACTAAGAGCAATGTCCTGGAAATTGTCGAAGGGGAAATTAAGCCCCGGGATTGGCTGATGTTGAATCGTGGTGGGTATCCTGTGAAATTCAGTGGTCATTTTGCACCTGTAGTGGGCATTAACCGTGAGTTGAATTACAGTTCCTCACACTCCCACCCTTGCTTCCCCGAGCTAGTACTGACACAGCTGGCTGTTGCTCTGTGTTCACGAGTGTGTGTCGCACCACTTTGACGGATGATCCGCAAGCGGCTCCCTCCAGCTCTATGGCGTAGGCCTCAGCAGAGGGGTCCGAGGGTTCCACCAAGGTGTACGCGCATCCCAGAGTCAGCCCTGCCGCTTCGTAGGGTCGCTTGTCGAACGTAGTCACGTGCGTCTCTCCCACTACCTTACAAGTGGCTGCACCACACACAAGGGACCACCATCATCGTCAGCACGGTGGCTAGTATACATGGGATTTCTGCCTTGCAAAATGATATTCAGAGGAAATAACGGTGGCAATGACGTTTTGTCGTAGTGGTTGCAGAAAGATAGAATAAACACAGTACTCATACTGATGTATGAATGTTTACTTAACACGAGCATGATAAGACAATGCTTTACCCGCAGCACATTTCAAACACTCATGTACCTGCATGCATATTTAATCATGTAAATGCTCATACTATACATCTGGGCTTTTATGTGAATTCAACCTCTGCAAAGGTGTCGAATGTCAGGTCAATTTCACTCACATTCTGGTATCCAGACATATAATTGTATTTTATAGCAGGTTCTGCAAAACAAACATACGAAGGAGACTAATTCACACAGGGCTGCAACGCCACATACCTTCACATGCAGTGGTCGTGCATTGCCAGTTTCCACCAACACACGTGCTGTCAGGAAAGAAAAAGATTCAAGTCGTCAGATCATTGCCTACATCTGTTGGTCCCCTGAGTCCAATAACAGATTAAACACGGAAACATTTCAAATGGAACAGCTTGTGATACATTCAAAACTTTTCGGAATGTGGGTTTGGAGCAGTGGTTCGCGCACAGCGCTATGAACCCAGGGATGATCCAAGTTCCGATTCCCAACCGTGGCTAGCATCATTGGCGAGTGATATTTGTAGAAACATGTAAGTGCGCGTGTGGACCACGGGAGATGGAATGATGTAGCACGCGCTTTACACAGTTGAGACAGTTGATATACAACAGTACAGTATAATTATGTATCGGCATTTAATTAGTAATTGTTATGAGACCATCCTGATTGGAATCCCCTTAGTCTACAACTAGCAAAGGTGCCGTGGTGGAAGAAGAAGAAAAGTAACCAACGTATCTGAACCTATCCTGGCCACCCCGCGTTCACAAACCCGCACTGACCAGCGTGATGAATGAAGTACTGTACGGGGAAACCACCGCCTACAATCGGCCGACACAGCTCTTTAAGGCATTCATTTAATTCATCAGTGGATATAATAAAGTTCCCTTTTAAATATCGAGCGACGGTATTCCCAGTGTTATAGTAAATATAGTAATCATCAGCTCGATGGGTGCGGCAATTCGTCAGGTGGGGCCCCAATATTCGATTTGCGCAATTTGCGGAAGCCAAACTTCACTGCTATAATTATATAAAAATGTATCGTGGAACGTAAATGGAAGCATTTTCATAAAATAAATTTAAACCGCGTTTCAATTACGTTTTTGTTCTTTTTACACTGTTGTTGAAAACATCTCTCAGGGTGGTCGTCAAGAAGGCCCCAACTCTTAGCTTTGGCCACCAGGGCGGCCAAGGCACCCCTGCCCCCACGTTAGTTACGCAATTTGGTATTCCAAATGCTAATTGCAACATTATTGTGGGACCTTTGCGCTTGTTGGAGCCCTCTGCTGGAACCAGCCAGCAAAACGCGCCCTCCGTTTTACTCCCCGTCCTCACCAGTTGTTGCAGTCGACGAGGATGATGCTGCCAGTGGGGTATTCGTCGCCCAAGCTCGAGCAGGGACACTGGTCCTGCGTGATGCAGGTCTTGTCGTGCAGCAGGGTCCCGTCGGGGCAGTGGCAGCCCTCCACGCACTGCTGGTTCTCGCAAGTGAACACGGCGCTCTTGCACGTGTGCGGGCAGGCGCTCCCACAGTCGTCGTACACCATGGCCGGAGGACATTCAACGTCTGTGCAATGCAATTGAGGGGGGGGGGGGGGGGGAGTTGGGCAAAGAGTGAGTTAAAGAGAAAAAATGCTTTAGGTTGGTGGTCAGTGCTGTCACCGAGACTTTGTGCCTGGCTCGGTAAAGTTAGCTAGGACGCTTAGGGGGTCAGTCGGAGCGCTGATCTAACACGACTGAGATCATGGGTTCGAATCGAGGCAGGTGTCTGTGATTTACACTGATCTTAAGTGTTGTGAGTTCATTGTTTCGACCCTGGCACCAATTACCATACGCAAAAAACCATGTAGTTCTGTATATTTCTACACGTTCAGCTCTGTGGTGGTGTGCTGGAGGTCCCGGGTTAAATCCCGACCCTCACGCCTATTTGGAGTTTGCATGTCTATAATGTGTGTCTCCCCGTGGTTGTGCGTTTTTGATGATTTAGCTGTTGTAAGTGTTCACATAAGCTACTTCGTTGAGCTATCATTTGTGGCCAGATCGCTTCTGAAAAAAAGCTACTGTATGTAGAGCTCAGTAGGCTTTACCTGGTAAAATAAAAATTGTACAAAAATAAATAGCTCCAAAAGTATGTATGTTACTGTTATACGTAGCACAGAGCATGTGAAAAAGCAATGCTTATTGTGTGTACCAGAAAACTCTTCATGAGCACATGGTGTTCTATGAAAAAGAGTAACTGTTTTCGATATATGTTTTTCCTTTTAAGACCACGGCATATTATTGATCAACTTGTTAAGTTTTGTTGTTGTTATTTTTGTTGTTCACCACAGGCAGCCCAATTGTCAGCAAATAATTTGTGTGCACCAGAGGTCACCTGAGGGGATTCAGAAGTGGCTCTGCTGTGTTGTGTCACCCTTTGTCAGCCTTTCTCAAATATAGAGGGTCCCCAACGCACTGCGATAGATTTAAATGGCTGCCTTTGTCTTCGTAACGTGACGTCGATAGCACATTCAGTGGGTGAAAAGAAAAAAACTGGATCGAATTCCGTTCCAATTCATAGTACAGTTTCACAATAAGTTTATAGTACGCGGCGAGGTAATGGACGCCCGTCACCCCGACTAGCATTCGTCAACAACATAAATGGAATCGCGGTTTATTCCATCGACTCGCTGGCGGTGGTCGGGGCTACGATGTGAGAGCAAGGGGTGTGCGGCGGGGGGGGTGGAAAGGCGTGAGAAAGACGTACAGCACAGGTCCGGTGCCCGCCAGCTGAGCCTGTGTCCGCGGCGCGAGCACGCCCCGGCGTACGCCTCGAAGGAGGCGCAGTGGCAGTCGGTGCGGTTGTCCATCAAGCAGAGGCACACGTCCTCTAAGCAGGCGCGTATGTACGGCTCCGGGTTCACGTCCTGCAGAACGGTCGTGACAACACGCGTCAAACGAAGAGCAGCCTTCAAACCAGAGGCCACCGAACCAGTGTTGGGGCCCAGTTGTTTCTTGCTGTGGTTGTCCCACCTGATGACGGACGCTTGTGTTGCGCCCGAAACGTTGTGATTGATTTTTTTTTTATTTTATACCTACGTGACTTTACCGAAAGAACCAAAGAGTATGGATCCCTGCAGTCACGTAAACTTCAAATCTAGATTCAGTGTTGAGTCGCCACCAACTTTGCTTCGTTATCCCAACAACTAGCTTTTTGCCCCGTCCAAGGACGGGTGTATATTGCAGTAAATCTGAAATATTCAATAGAAAAATTGTTCACCTCATGATTATTAATGAGGGGTGCGGCATGTGGAGTGACATCACCCGCTCATGATTGTTAATGAATAACTGCCAAATCGCTCTCCGTGGTGCTAACGTTAAGAAAAAAACGCCACTTTTTTCAAATTTTCTTGCTGTGGTTTTCACACCTGATGATGATTGCTTGTGTTGCAGTCGAAACGTCGTGAGCATTTTATTGTTTTATATTTTTATTATTTTATTGTTTCCCTTCTACGTGACTTTAGCGAAAGAACCAAGAATATGAATCCTTGCAGTCACGAAAGCTTTAAATCAAGCTTAACACCTGTTTTATTGCCAGAAAGGATAAAGACTATCATTTTGTCATCGTCTTTCAAACTCAATCTGAAATTAGCGTTGTCTTGGTTTTATAGTTGTAAGTGATGATTTATTGCTTGCGCGATCCCCACTGGTTTTCATTTTCGATCTTAAATTCACTTCACAAGTTCAACGGGATATGCAGTGTAATGAATGAGGTTCCTTTCGTTAGGCATTTCCTGGCAGCATACACGATAAAGCTCAATGCAGTTTGAGCGAAACGTCGTCGTATGTTGATGTTAAATTCAGTCATTAAAAGTCACCGGTGAAGAGGAGGAGTATTATTGGTCAGGATTTGATTAACACATTATCCCGTACAAATAATATCTCTGTAAACGTGACAACCTTGTCTGATGTTGGAGGGGTCGTGACAAGAATTTTGCCATAAAACTACCACGTGGCCTAAATCCCAAAAACGCAAACGTGGATCAATGAAGTAACATTCATGCATCTGGCTAGTATTTCTCACTAAAACGCAGGATTAGCCTACCTCATGTAAGTGTGATACGTGCTTGGTAATACGTACATCTGTGCAGTTGGAGAACTGATTGTGGCGGATCTTCTTGCACTGCAGATATGCTATTGGAAGCGTATCTGGCTGACACATGCTCACGGCCGATGAGCTTTTAAGGCAGCTGTCATCTGAAAGGGCAAAGTAGCAATGTATTTCATAAATGTACGTTTAAAAATAATAATATACTCTGTAGAAAATACATCCACCGCAGAGATAGAGCGATGACGTCCCCTTGCGTGCACGAGATAAGATGGATTTTTGCATCACAAGACTGATAGATGGTGACAGCTAGGGGAGGCCTTCATCCAGCAGTGGATTGATCATGGCTGCTGATGATGCAACTCCTTAGTGCCACATTTATCATTATCGATTGCGTGGGTACATATTTTTTGACGTCCCATGTGCAGTGTTCGTTAAAAATATTAAACAAAGCTAGTACACGTATCCAAGACATGGCATGTTTATGTGTACACACGCAGCTCTTTTGAAAATCCACTGCTGGATATAGGCTGTAGCCACACTCTGTAGGTCGTGCGGGTTATTCGATGATCACACTTGTCAATGTGAGTTGGTGAAGGTGACGAGCTTAAATGTAGTAACGCTGGTACGTTATAACAGTGAATTTCATTCCATATCTTATCTACTGTCTTGCTTGAATCGACAGAAGTGGCGTAACTATATTAGCAGGTCAGGGGATCCCGATGTTTACAGGTGGGGTCCCGATATTTGATTCGTCTCGCACGGTCGCACCTCGGCTATATATCGCGGCTCTTCTTGCCTAATCACATCAGTACGCTCACAGTCTCGAACGTGTAACGCTTTAGGGGCGCTCCAGATTCGCAAAATGCAGCCGCTATTTATGCTACTAGCGTCTCATTTGTTCAATACTGTGTTTACCATAAACCTCAGTGTAACAGGCGTACCATAAAATCATGATCGTTTCTCACACGCAGGAGTCTACACATGCAATGTATGGTTGGCGTAAGAATATAATTCGAATACATAAATTCTCCACGCCCTGTGATATATTACGCAGTGGCATAGCGTGGTTGGCATGGGCCCTGGTGCAATAGGTGAAATGGAGTCCCCTATTAACCAACTTCCACCCTCCTCACTCCTTCCCTAACCCTTTTCGTAGCCCACAGCCTGAGCCTTTCCGGCCATTGGGCGAGTGGTGCAATAGCACCGCCCGCACATTTTTGACAGCTACTGCCACTGCATGTAGATTATTTATCGCAGATTTTGTTGCTATAAATTTCCAAATGATAAACCACTTCGTTGAGCTATCATTTGTGGCCAGGTCGTTTTGGAAAAATAAGTTAATAGCTTAGTGGGCTTTACCTGGCAAAATATTTTTTTATTAGTTTTAATTGTATATTTAAAAAAATGTGATTTAACTTATCTTTCCCATACTTTGCACTCCTATCGTGTTTTTCGTATTGTTTGATGCTGTAGCGTTCTGACCCGCCTCTACTGGACATCTGTGAGAAAGAGCTTTAAAGCATATTCTGTTCATTACACGTACCCTCGCCGGGCTCCGTGGCTCGCCAGCTCATTCCGAAGGCGAGCGGGCAGGTGGCAAGCCGTCCGTTCTTCCCGGTCAAGTCGTCCGACGTGTCGTTGTTGAACAGGCCGCAAAGACCACACGTTTTATGACTGAGCTCGTTGGTGACCATCACGGATATGGCATTTTCGCCGTCCCAGCGCACGGTGAAGCCCAGGCCGCTGCGAACGAGGATGGAATCGGCGATGCGCTCGATGAGGAGGCCGTTCCACGACGTGGGAATGGAGATGACGCTGGAGGCCGAGGAAGCCACGGGACCGTCGTCGCTGCCACTGAGGTCGAGGGCGATGAGCCCGATGGTGATGGTTAAGTTCCTGCAAGGGTGCATCGTACGTCAGACAAGGGAGGTCAATGATGATGACGATGAATCAGGAATGATTATCATGCATTTGGAACTCGCTGTCTGATTGAATAACAGTGTACTCGTAAAATAATAAAGGTACCTTAATCTGGTTCTATGAGCCTCGGGCACAATTAATGAACTCTAGAAGTGTGAAAGGTGCTATAGTCTGGCTCTTTGAAGCTACGTAATCTGGCTATCTGCGCATTATTTCATAAAATGATGTATGTGTGTGCCTTCGTATACACCTATTTTAAAGGTGCAGTGACTGCTAATGTCCACTAACTGCTCGTTTCCACTAAAACTAAATGTCGCAGGCCATTCCTGCTGTGGTCTCGGACCTCTTGCAGTTGGAGAGCGAGTTGCACGGCCGCACAGTTCTCAGCACCACAGAGAAGGTCTGGTCCGTGCAGTCTCCCGCCAGCAGATAGGAGCAACCTCCGCGGAACTCGAACAGGGACCCATCGAAGGAGCGGAAGTGGCTTAGACCCCACGTCACACACTCTCCGGGATTGCCTGTGGGTCATGTGCAAATGACACGCTTGTACTCCACAAGAGAGGCGGGGAGGGGACATGGTGGAGCAGGGCTGGAGGGACACAGGGCTCTTGACCGTCAGGACAAGAAATGAGCCATGCTAGGCTGTTCCAAGATAGCACTAGCACGGATTGGATATGATTTCATATAGTCGTAGAAACGTAGCATGTGTTGTTAAAAGTGTATTATATAAGCAGAGCTCCCTTCTGTGTTTCCACATATACATACAACATGTTTAAGTCTATCGGCCTATTGGCTTTCTAGACCAGTATTATCCAGCAGCATTTGTTTAACGATGCAAACAAACTCTGGACCGGTTTTTACCTTTTGGGTCTCATCGGTAGAGTCAGGCTTGTAAAACAAATGTTGTCCATGGCCAGAATGAGGACTTGGATGACTGGATTTGGTGGCACGTCTGCTAACGCTAAAGCTCCTACTGAGGGCGCTGATTACCAGCGACACAGTACCATGGTTGGCATGGGCCCCGATTTAAGGAATGACACTGGGTCCCCTGTCCAATTCCTCGCCTCCCCCCCCCCCCCCTTTGTAGCCTGGTCTGGGGCCTGTCTGGTCCGTGGGCCCTGGGTGCCCCAATGTCGGAAACGACACTGGGGCCCCTCCAGCTTGTGGGTTCCCGGTGCAGTTGCACTGCCTGCACAATCGATAGCTACGCCACTCCTCATTACCCTTAATAGGCCGATGTGAACACCGTGTGCCGAGTCTTATCGTACCTGGCTCGAAGTAGACCGTGTTCATTTGCGAAGGACTCGCGATATCTTCCGCTGTAGAGATAATGGAATACATCATACGGGTCAATTTACTGCACACGCGGATATGAAACGTATACAAAATAACACACAATTTGTGTGGTCCATGTACAGCTTAATCCATAGCTACATGAGGGCCTCCCCTCGCCGCGTGTCGTGGACGTTATTTAACCGCTTAACCACGTTGGTCAGTGCGGATAATTCACTGTGTAACAAAAAAAATGTTTTTGTTCCTGGGTAGTAAGTGTTATTTCCTAATTTCTTATGCCTCAAAAGTACAGAAAATGGCTGTTATTACCCACAAACTTTGCTTTTGTGACCAAGGACAAAAAAAGCAATGTTAATAATTCACTCCATTAAAAACACTGTGTAACAAATGTATTATTGTTTTGTTCCTGGGAAGTAAGTGTTATTTCCTAATTGCTATTATTCCCCACAAACTTTGCTTTTGTGACCAGGACAGTGATATTTTGAAATGTACCTATTTTCAATGAGAAAACGTGTGCATGTGTGTCATTCTTTCACGTAAAGTTCTGGTCACAAAAGCATAGTTTGTGGCGAATAATAGCCATTTTCTATAATTTTGAGGCATACGCAATTAGAAAATAACACTTACTACCCAGGAACAAAAATCGTGTTACGTAGTATAAGCGAAGGCAGGGGGGGCATAGTAGCTGAAGCATAGAAATACAAGTACTGTTGCATCGTCTGCTGCTCACCACCCTGCAGCCTACATATCCTGTCCAGCCTGCAGCCTACATGTCCTGTCCACCCTGCAGCCTACATGTCCTGTCCACCCTGCAGCCTACATGTCCTGTCCACCCTGCAGCCTACATGTCCTGTCCACCCTGCAGCCTACATGTCCTGTCCACCCTGCAGCCTACATGTCCTGTCCACCCTGCAGCCTACATGTCCTGTCCAGCCTGCAGCCTACATGTCCTGTCCAGCCAGCAGCCTACATGTTCTGTCCAGCCTGCAGCCTACATATCTTGTCCAGCCTCAAGCCTGCTAAGCTTCCAAGATCTGACGAGATCGGTCGCATTCCGGGTGATTCAGTCATGGGTAATGAGTCAAACTGAAATTTGAGTTGACATCTGAGTAATCCCGCTGATAGACATCGTTGCTTATTATTATTATTAAAACATATCTTCAATGTCGCATAGAATCTATTGCGTTTGTTAACCATCACAAAGCTTCCCGAAACCCTAATCCATTATCACATCAGATTACCTATGACATGTTTATATTTGGTACCTTTACATCCATTATCTGACTCACATTATCCTCCCCATACTTGTCCAGCGCTTGTTATTTTAACGTCATACCGGCAACAAATCATATTATGTAGATAGCCCGTAAGCTACGCGTGTGCGTGCTACATTAGGTCAATGGGCCATTGCAATGCACACTCCAGCACTCATTTGTCAAACGTTTGCGAAATGTTTAGCCGAGTTGTTTTTTTGGTGACTACTTTAGCAAATAATATTTATTTTTATATGTTCTTTTCTGGCACTTTTTGTGTTGAGCCTACCACGTTTGTTGGTGGGTTTTTTTTACCGAAAATGCTTTGGTTGGATCCCAGATCTCGCATCTAAAAGAGATAATTATCTCACGAGCCTGTGCCTGTTTATTAAGTAACGCGTGCATGTGTACGCGATTTTCGGATTGTATTGTCTTGCCTTGTGTATGCTTGTCTTTTATCGTATTTAGGCATGTGTATATGTGTGTCTGGGTGTATGTTAGGTCGACTCAACAGTAAATGTTTCAGTGTGTAAACACCAGCTCTGGGGAGACAGACGAGGCCGGACGTGGTCCTGGCTACGTCACCTCCCTCGTGTGTGTTCCGGCCTTCATAGCTGCACGCTAACGGCACTTGCTGCAAGAATATTTACGGCTATGGGACTATGTTAGTGGGTAAACCAGCATTGGCCGCGCGTTTGCACGGGATGCACGTGCCGGGGTGGAGGGTGGAGGGCAGGCGCCGACGTTAGCACGGACGAACCCGTCTCAAGACTCTGGGATTCGGGTGACATCATCACGCACTTGCACGCCCGCGTGGCAGCCAGCCAGCAAAACCTGAATGTTTTACTTAGCGTGTATGTCGACATCTGTGTTTGTACTCCATATGTGCTATCTGAATAGTGGGTTACCCCCATCGCACTCGTGGGTCTTCTCTGGGCGCGCTGGATTTTCTCCCGCATGTAAACACTAATTAGGTGGCCGCTGATACTTCAATAAATTCAGGACGACAGAGCTTGGACAAGTGTCGTTGGTGTCAGCTCATCTGTGCTTCCTCGCGCTTCTGAGTCTTTTTTTCTCGTTTGGAGCGTGAACGACGACTGTGCGCGAGTCTTTGCGAGTGTGTGACCCGGACGCAATTTCGGCACCCGACACACCACATTCAGTATACAAGTATATACGTATGTGTCTATAGCACACTATACTGGGATGATGACTCACGGTAGCACTGCGGGAAGCTGCCGTTCCATTGGCCGTCGATGCAGGCGATGAGTGGCGGGTCGATTGCCATCGCAAAGCTGTAGCCCTGGGAACAGTCAGCTCGGCAAGTCTGCTCTCCCGTCACCTCCATCACGCAGCTCACGGCACCGTTCAACGGCGGATCAGGTGTGGAGCACACGATCCGATTCACTGTGGGAAAAGACACGAAAGGGTTCGGGCATCGGGGGTATGGAACGCGGGACCAGGGATCATGATGATGATGGTGGTGTATGGTGGATGCGGAGGAGACGCGACGAAATGTTGCGGTGTGTGTGTACACGTTTCGTTCCACGTGCTGAGTGCTTCCACAGGAACTGAATCGAGTTCCTGAAGAAGCTCCCAGCACGCCATACTGACAGACGGAGCAACCAGAAAACGAATGGGAGAGCTGTACAGCACAGCCACGAGAATGTGCGCAGTTGCTGTAGAGATTGTAGATCGAGGAAGGAAAGTGTGGTGGGGGCGATGTGAACCAGGTGTGATTTGGGGAGGTCTAGTCGTGTTAGCTATCCTGCTCGCCGAATTAATTTTAACCAAACGTTGCAACGTCGGGTCGGTTTAGAAATAGTAATTAAATAGTGAAATGCCACTATACAGTAGTTCAACATTATAATTAAGGACATTAATTAAATATACCACCACTGCATGCGTTGACTTTTAGGTTAAATAATAGTTTCAACCAGTACCAAAATTTATTGCAATGTATTGCCAGTGCTACAACGATCATAACACACAATATATATTTTAAAATGTAAACCTTCATGACCAATTAACGGCCCGTTCTCTTGCTACGTCTCTGTTAGAGCCCTCTCGTGGCGATTGGATGCATGCGGCGTCAGACGACGTGAACGGATGAGACTGGGAGACAGGGGGAGACGGGACGTGCCGGGTCCCGCAAGAGAACTGAAGTGGAGTTTCGTAAATTCTCCGCGTACTCACGGACGCAATGCGGCATTTCTGCCAACGGCGTCCAGTTTCCGTTTCGACAGTTGTAGACGCCAGTACTGCCGCCCTGCAAGTGCAGATTTTAAGATGTCAGCACTCGACGCAGTAACTGTTGACGATGATTTGGCCGTGGTGCACAAGGACAAGGAACAAAACAACCTTCAAGAACGCTGACCTTAAAAGCAAAAGATATAATAGGCGACCTTACAAGCAATGTCCCGAAGAAGGATCATTGCATGAAACGTCGTTTATTAATTTTTGTTCTTTTGAGGCCGTGTTCTTGACGAATTTGTTGAGGTTTTGTTGTTGAAAGGTAATGGTGCAGCCCTGAAATGTCTTCCTCACTCCACTGCTGGTGGAGAGGCCCCCACGATAGTGAGCTCTAGAGGCAATTCTAGAGGGTATTTTGGCCTACTTTTCCACGTTGGTCAGACATCTCGGAAGTGGTGAGAGTACACACACAAATGCCACTACGGGAGATTGAACTGGTAACCCCAGGATTAAATAACGCGGATGATTTATCTGAGCACTGTCATTATCAAATGTTTTGCAAATCGACTTTTTCAAAATAAGTTTATTTTGTTTTACGTCTAACTGATGTTTCTAAATATGTTGAGGAAATCGACAAAACGTTCATTTATTGTAACTTAAATAATCGTTAGGAAATGCCCGTGAAATTTCACCGTTCAAATCCGACAAAATATTACATTTGTTCCTCAAAATATCTCACGCGCACACACGTACACCCTTCAACACACACATGAAAACATATGCACATATACACATTGGTATATTCATACACAAATACATACACAGTTCAGATGGACGGACAAGTTACGATATTATATACTGCATATACTGTACAAATGGTACAGGATTGTATATGTCTGCATATTGATAAAATTCACAACGGCTGGTCAATGTATTGCTTGATAGAGGCCTCCCCACGCCGTGTCGGTCGTGAGGGTTCAATGGCCATACTTCACCACACTGGTGGATGCGTGGTTGGTGAAGGGGAATACGGGGCAATACCCAGAAGCAAGTTCAGATACCACTCGCCACTGATGTTAGCCGTGGCTGTGAAGTTAACTCGTCAGGTTCATATCGCATTGCGCAAACTACCCATTCAATAGAGGGCAATTCCAATGTACACATATATAAAGTGAGACGCCCAAACATTCACCTGTAAGTGGTAACCTTTCATACAGGAGACGGTACATGACAATTGGCCTTGTGAGTCGGACGCGCATTCAAGGTATCCGCTTTCGGGGGGTCGCAGTGGTTCGCATGATTTGAAGAAATCGTCGGCTTTAGACTTTGCAGGTCTGGCAGGAGGGAAGACAGAGTATGGTCAACATTTCATCGTCATTATCTTTTAAAAGAGACCTTGAGTGACTCGTCGTCTAAACGATAGTTCGAGTAATTCACTAAATGCCTGCGGAGGCTCGCGTGCATTTCCACCTGTTGGCCTGGAGGGCAGCGGCATAGAGTGCTTGGCATGGGCCCTGGTTCAAGAAATTAAATTGGGCCCCCTGTCCAGGAGTCCTGGCGCAGTTGCGCTGCCCGCACACTCAGTAGCTAAGCCATTGCTAGGAAGAGCGATAGCAAACCGTGGGCAGTTATTCATCATCATTAGCAGTGGTCAGCCATTGTCTATCCACTGCTGGATGAAGGCCTCCTCAAGCTATACCCATCTCTCCGGATCCTGGAGTGTGGTTGTGGTGTAATGTAATACAGTATGTCTAATCCGACATTAATATAAGTTACAAATATCCATTAGCCAGTGTTTTACATAGGTTCCTAACGTTAAAACAGTTATATATCAGTTTGCCGTGAATGTTAACTGACCATTTTTGTTGGAAAGCATAGAAAGGCTCATGGTGAAACTGACAGGAGAGTTGGAGTTCCATCCCCTACAGCAACAACTCAGCTTTTGAGTGCCGTTTAGCATGTATTGACCTGTGATATAATGATCTTGGGATATTTTCAGATGTACCGACTAATTGAATCTTTTTTTTATTATTGGAAAGTGTTGTGATAGCAGCATGTATTCGCCTAAATAATAAAAAAAACATTGAAATAAAATAAACCTTTTTAAAATATATTCAATGTATTAGCTCAGAACTATTCCTTAATTTTGTTAACGTGTAGCTATTGTCTTGATTGTATATATTCATCATATGATAACGTTGCTCTTTGTAAAGTCACTTTTGGAAGAAAGCTTCCCCACACCTTGTCGGTTATGGGGGGTTGTTTGACCATACTTAACCACGCTGGTCAATGCGGGTTGGTGAAGGAGAGACGTAGGACCAGTTCAGATATCACTCGTCACTGATGTTAGCCGTGGCCAGGTAATCGAACTCAGGTCGCCGGGTTCATTGTGGAGTGTGCCAAGCACTGTGCCACCGCTACATATCCCGTTGATCGTCTAATTATTGTCCCACATGTCTATGATTTGACGTTTTTGCCCAACGGATTTTCTTCCATGGAAATTGTATAACCTGTAGAAAGGCAATCGCTAGAAGGGTTATTTTGTCACTTTCATTCATTTACTTACAATAAGTGTGTAAAATGTACTAACCAACACAAATCCGATCATATTTGAAGCGAATACGGTACATTTCATTGTGACCATGAAGCTAATTAATATAATCATCAACCAATGGCATACAATAATGCAATGGCATACAATAAATATCACAGCCATTGTTTTTTCTACGGAAGAATGAGATTTTATCTATTTCTGTGCCTCCATGATGAAGGCCTCTTCAAAATATCCTGAAATTCTGTCGTAAGATGGAATCATGTTATATACTTCACTAGCTGATCAGCGCGAGTTGTTTATAAACATATTATACCCAATGTAACAAAAACCTGCACTGACCATGTACATATATATTCGTCAAAATGTTGGTCAATAAGATATCCAGAATATGTCCTAAATAGCTACTTAAACTACATGGAAATTTTACTTAATCGTACCGAACATTTGTTTCAACTGCCCTGTGAAATGTTACCAGCCTAACATGCCGCTACTACCTGCTGTGCTGTCACGCACGTCTCTGTGACGCAAACGTTGAGCGCTATTCAGCACGTGCACGCACAATGCGAACAATACGGGAAGGCAGACGAGAGGGCGAGTGTAACAAAGAGGTCAAGCATACTCACAAATCGGTCAGTAACACTGTCAGCACGATCAACGTGCGGCACACCCAGGCCGATGGTCCTGCCATGGCGTAGAGATGAACCCACGTGGGCACACGCACACACACACACTCCTCTGCCCTTTCCTAGCTACGCTGATGTCAAAATGAGTGCGTGTCTCAAGATCGTTCCGGTGGAGCTGCTGAAAGATCTACTGTATCTCCTCGTCCTCCTTCGTGCAATCGCGTCCCTCGTGGGAGCGATTCAGTACCGAAGTGAACGAGGCGCGGACTATTTATACGGATTCCAACCCGGACACGTCGCCTCAGCCTTACCTCTCCAGAACAAACAAGGGCACGAGGTGAGTTTGTATTTCCACAACGTAGCTACCACCACCCCAATACCCACCAATCCCACATTAGTCTTCTGTTTGTACCATCAGACTAGCACATAGCTCTTAATGCTTTGTTAAGGATGAGCGCCAATGCCCACAAAGGGCAGTGGTCTCATAAACCGTGTACACAGCACATATTCCTATGTATCCGGGTTCGACGGGGGTTTCCAAATGTGTACTCGCAAGCGGCTGCACACATGTGCATATGTACACCCGTGCAGAACTATCACAATCCATTTGTATATAGCATGCCTATGTACCCCTATATATATGAGCAGCCATCAATATCATATACGCCACGCAAATGTAACTGCATTTGTTTCTTAGGTGACCACTATCGCCGTGAGTCATTTTATTTTTACGCTCTGAAAGTTATACAGGTTTATTTACAGGGGGACGTCGTCCAAATGAAACTGAGTTTGATTCCAGGCCCTGGCTGACATGAAGCAACATTTCTCATCAGCGGAAGAGTTAAAACTCATCATCGCATTTCAGCACTGAGGATGAGCGTATGAATACAGAGTCTGTGCATGGGAAAGCATTATGTACAAGAGGCTCTACTTTCATTCGGAGAGGACACGGTGGCTTCTGGTGCAGATCTCAACAAGCTCCAACAGGATGCTGTGTGCCACAATAAGCACAAGTTGGCCTACACCACCTTCTAATCCATCAACAAAGGGAGAACTCCTCCATGCTGGTCATTGGCTGTGTGGGAGCAGTATCTCAATTGAGACCTTCCAAGACTGCTGGTGTGGGACGAATCCCATGACTACCAGACTTGATGGCAATGGACGACTTTGTGTGTGGGTTTACATGTGAAAGATAAAGTGTTTGGTAACCAAAAAAAGTAATAAAGCATTGTGATTTCAGCAACAGTTGGCAGACGTGTTTGAAACAATGTCCCACGTGTTCACACTCGAGATATTTGCGACCAATTGTGGACTCTCGTTGGTGCGATGTGTGTCGCCAATGCCACGACGGACAACATGGATGTTTAGAGGGATGGAACTCGTAAATCGTTATCTTATCAAGTGTGCTTATATAGTTTAATTGACCAAGCTCAAACTGCCATCCAATTTCTACCGAATTGTAAGAATGTTGAGAATGTAGAATATCCACGAAGGTTCTCTCCACGATTCCATGTGGTGGCACATTTAACTTTGGTCATAATGGTGCATTGTCCAGATTATTAAACTGGGGGTCATGGGCGTTCATAAACGGAGCAAAATATATTGGAGAGCTCCTGCACATTAGTGACGGGGTATACAGGCTAGGCTTGATTTAATATTGGTGTGAGGTGGGACTTATTTTAGGTCAACATATGTTAAGGATGGAAAAATGTCTTTACTTTGTTTTGTCAGTCAGGCGTGTTGGTCTAATGCAATGTCCTATTGTATGTCTTGTATGCATTGCGTGATGTACTTAAATGGAAAAAGTCCACACAATACTGTATATCCAGCGACCAAAACGGACATTCTACATAGCCCCCGAACGATCACCACAGATTCCAGTACATTCCGAGCATAATTATTGGTAGGTCATTTTAATAATGAAGTGCCAGCCTTCACCCAATGCAACATATTAACACACTTTAAAATCTTCACTTAAAGCTTTCGTGACTGCAGGAATTCATATTCTTGGGTCTTTCGGTAAAGTCACGTAGATAGGTTCAAAGAAAACCTATCTACGTGACTTTGCCGAAACCTATCTACGTGACTTTACCAAAATACCCAAGAATACACTTTAAAATGCCTCCGTTCATCGATGTACTGCTTTATTATTATCAGATCTGCAGTCTTGTGAGGTGCAACGAAGCTACACGGTAACCCTCATTAAGACATTACAAACACAAGTAATTTTGAATGATGTTTTAAGCGCCTACATTTTTGTTTTTTTTGTTTTAATCCACTCTCTAAAACTCTACATCATCATCTATATATGTATTGGAGCCGTGGCGCACTGGATTATGCACTGTTCGAGAAAGTTGGTTTACTGAGTTTGATTCAGCGCACGGCTTACATCAGTGGTAAGTGATATCTGAACTGGTCCAGGCTCACCCCACGGTTACCAACTCGTCCCAATCTCTTAGTGGATTGAGACAAAAGGGATGTACAGAGCGTACCAATTATAAACAGTATAAGATGAATAACACAAAGATAAATGACATGTTAAGGTAGCCTATTATTCAAGTTCACAAATAATGCGCACCGTAGGGAATTGAATGGTGGGGTAGTGGTTAGCGCACTGCTCTACAAACCCGGTGGCCTGAGTTTAATTGCATACATCAGTGGCGAGTGATGTCGGAACTGTCTTCATCGCCTCACCTTCCCCTTTCACCAACCCGCACTGACCAGCGTGGTGAAGTATGGTCAAAAAAAGTCCATAATCGACAAGGCGTGGAGAGGCCTTCATCCATTGGTCGATTGAGAATGACTGGTACAATAGGGATAATGAATGAAACGTGTTTGTTCCATGCTCTAAGACACTCCTTTGCGTACAAAGTTAGTAATTCATCGTGCTCACTCGCGCAATTATCCCTGTATTCATATCAGGGCATTAATTTCAAAATTTCTCGAACGTCATTTGAGTCCTAAATTACGAAACCTTTTTGCCACTTGCCTTCCCCACCCACCCCCGCTTTGTTTTCTCTCCATCTGTCAGCGTCTTCCATCTGAGCAGCATCGTCGGTGTGTGTGCGTGCGTGTGAAAACAGGATCCTGTTCCCGGATAGCCAACCCCCTTGATTGCTTAGCGGATCAACCGCAGGGGGCACACGAATGTGCGTATTTATTGTTCATTGATTGTTCTACTTTTCTCCTCTCACCATGCGACCCATCCGCGCACAAAGGTCGCTGAACGACGCTGTTGACATGTTTGCACAAAAGCGGAGTCTTAACGGTAACGCAAGTCACAGGAGAGCGCCAATCGTAACGCGCCATCTGAATGTTCATTGCGAACTCACCACTCGGAGACATAGATTCATGGTAGAGCCATTATAGCGTAATTAATCACACGGAGTCATTACTGTTCTGTACTCCCACGCCATACAGGCGTGATGTATATATCGTCAATGCATAGAGCAGACATACATTTACTCCAAGTATAATGGACAGTTTATTTTGTATGCGTTACATGTTTAAGTAGACTTTAAACAGAGTTGTGGATAGAGGGGCCCTGTGACCCCCCTTACTGGGGCGATGTTCGCTCGACAGAGCTTATTTTACTTGTAATAAAAATTACAGGCTGCGCATTAAAAAAAAAAGATTTAATTCAACTGGAATAATCCCGATCTCATCAGATCTCAAAAGCCAAGCACGGGTTGAGCATGGGTAGTGCTTTGATGGGCGATCGACGTGCATAACAGGTGTTATAGGCTTCGGGATCGTGAGCAGCAGAGGTACGTTTCGCAAAATAATTTTATGTACGTGTATTTCATTTCCTTTGCTCTTTGCCTTCATAAACCCGCGTTGACCAGCCTGGTGAAGTATGGTCAAACAACCCCCCCCCACAACCCTCACCGCGTGGGGAAGCCTTCATCTAGCAGTGGACTGGCAAAGGTCTGTATTTGTATCTACAATATAACGCTGTATGGCCACCACTCCGAAAGGAATTTCATATATCCTTGCTTTAAAATTACTGACATTGAATATTACATACAACCTCTTACTAAGAACTCATCGTAAATTACGACATAATAATTCATGCCATGTTACTTAGAATTAAAAAGACAACTTACATATGGTCATTTTATTGATTTATGTCCTTTATTTATCCAAAAGTGTCCAGGTCTATATAACTTTTCTTTATTTCTCAGGAGGCTTTTGCATTTGGATGTTAAATAGTTTTGTTTCATGGAGTGCGTTGTTGAAGCTTATGAGCACCGCAAAACAATCTCACACCGATTTAAAAGTGTTCCCCTAGTTTCGATTTAAAGCTTTCGTGACTGCAGGGATTCATATTCTTGGTTCTTTCGGTAAAGTCACGTAGAAGGGAAATAATACAATAATAAAAATAAAACAATACAATGTTCTTGCTGTGGTTTTCACACCTGATGATGATTGCTTGTGTTGCAATCGAAACGTCGTGAGAATTTTATTGTTAAATTTTTATTATTTTATTATTTCCCTTCTACGTAACTTTTCCGAAAGAACCAAGAATATGTTCCCCTCGTCTTGACTGAGGCGGGATGCGTCCACGTCTGTGTTCTCCTGCCTTCATCAACCCGCACTGACCAGCGTGCAGTATAGGCAAAATAACCCTCACGGACCAGCACGACAATGCGGAGAGGCCCTCGTCTAGAAAAACGTTACCTTAATACAAAACTAATCTTGACTTAAAACTTTCGTGACTGCAGGAATTCATATTCTTTGGTTCTTTCGGTAAAGTCACGTAGGTATTAAATAAAATAAAACAGTCTGCCTCAGCAGCAGATCATGCTTTCCCACCTGATGACGGACGCTTGTGTTGCGCCCGAAACGTCGTGATTGACTTTATTTAATATTTTTTCTTTCGGTAAAGTCACGTAGATAGAAAAAATAAAAATTTAAAATAAAGTGAATACAAATATCACGACGTTTCGATCGCAACACAAGCGGTCGGCTTGTGTTGCGATCGAAACGTCGTGATACAGTATATTTAATACGGTTCGATAATAACGATAATGCGTGATAATGCGGTGCATCATGTTTGATGTGATCACAATCTGCATTATAGAATGGTAGTCAATATACAATGCATTTCCAATGAACAAGATAGGCTATGAGTGGTGGCGCTAATTAATTACAGACGCTGACGACAGGAGGCACCTGCAGGCACTGTGGTTCTTCGTGTGTGGTGTTACCTTTGATGTTTCATTACTTTATTTTAAGATTATAATTTGTA